ACACAAGGCAAAACAATTTTTTTCCCAACAGGAAATCAGTCGACAAAAGTGGTAGCACGAGAAAAAAATCCAACGGAACTGCCTGTTTGTGAGGATGGTTTTAAATGTTTTATTCTACATCTGATGCTGGGTAGGATGGTAATAAGGGAGGAGGGGTCGTAATGGTTAAAGCAACATTACGCAGGGTTGGGGTGGAGGCGGGGTTCATTCAGAATTTCTTGAACGCACCTGTCTTTTTTTTTTTATATCCAGTTTTATTTTTATGCGCGCAGCCCCTCCTTGGCCACCTCAAACAGTAGGAACAAAGAGTATACTGCCTCTACACTAGTGAGCATACTACACGCGCGCGCCAACTCCTCGCCTGCACGCGACGTTGTACTACTGCATTAAAACAAAACATTTACATGATTTTCCCCGAGTCTTTCATGTGCATGAACTGTAATAATGCTATTCGAAATTTCAGTTCTAGGTGGCGTTCTAATTAAAATGCATGCTCGTGGCTGACATTACAAATGAAAGCTTTGACTGTCAGTTTTGTTTTTGTTAAAAAACAGACTGATAGTATTTAAGAGAAGAACTAGATCTATATATGATGAATTCATTTTATTAGTATCCAATTCATTGTTTTTACACCGATGTTATGTTCAGGAATTTACTACCGACAAATACCGTTTCTTACCTTTAGAATAAATTGTGGGAATGCATAGAAATACAAAACGCATTTGATTAAAATGTTAATGATCATGCCGTGACAGAAGTGTAAGGCAAACTTATTTTTTTAAACCAAGTATTAGATTATTTCCCACAAAAATTGTCAATGTACCGGATAAATACTTATTACACTTAGAATGTGAATTTTGATCATTTTCAATAAAAAAAATACTTTGGCATGCTTTTTATTGAATTAGCGGTGTAATTTTGAAAATTTTTAAACACGATTCTAGTAAACAGTTGTTCCTATATACTATATAAAATAAGTAGAAATAAAAATAAACAAAACAAATAAAACACGAGCAGTTGTAGAAAGTCTACTTCCGTGAAATAATGTATCTATTTCTGTAAAGATCCACGGGGAATAATTAGGAATTGTGCTTTATACAAATTCCGAAAAAGAGTTATAGCCCCTGATTTCAAAATATGAATTACAGTTGACACAGTGTGATTTGTAATTTTCTCCTTTTGAGTAGCTGTACACTTTTTTAAAACTATTAAATTAAAACTTAAAAAATTCATCAATTTCATATTTAAAAATTTTCACAATTCATTTTTTTAAATATAGGTAATTCGAAAATAAAATGTCACTTTGAGGCCACACAATTTACTTTTTTTAAGTCCTACTGAAACTATGAATATTTGGGTTTATGTAAAATTAATATTAACTTAAATTGTTTGGATAAACAAGGCCCTTGAAATAGATAAGTTTTTTGTGTGTAAGAATTAAAATGTTATTGGAAGTCAATACTCTTGTGCACACTTTCAGTAATTATCACAAAGTCTTACCTTTATAACAATATGATGGCAACAAAATTATTTTGGCTTTTTTTTTAAATATTGTTTAGAGTTTAGTAACCAAAACATTAACGAAAATATATTAAATTTGCATACAAGTGATGCAAAAAAATACAACCATAATCAAGTTTTTATGACATTTAATTATTTAAAACACTAAGAATTTTTTTGTAAAATTATATTGTAGTTCAAACTGAAGCCATAAAAATTGATTCTATTAAATTGATATTTCAAGGTTAAAATTTGCACTAAACACTAAAGAGGGGAAGTCTGATTTCTCATTAAATATTTTTTAAAACAGAATCTTAGTATTGAACTTCACCAAAATGCAATATCTGTATTATGCAAAATACATCTTACAGTAATGAATTTTAGCATACCAGCCATAAAAATATGTCAAATGCAGTAAACCATTTATTATAAAAAATAAAAAATGTGTAATGAAACTATGAGCCAACAACCTTTCATAACTAATGTGAAAAGTGTGGGTTTTAAAATAAGGGGATCTCCCATAAATGGCACACTCCTAAGGAAGGGATGGTTTCAGAAAGGGACAAGACTTGCTTTTGCTTTTTAAAAAGTAATGTCAACCAGTCAGAATAAATGTATGTGCTGAACACTATGGAGGAGAAAATTAAATGAAATTGTAAGGTTATCGAATAAGTAGTAAATGCTATGGGGATGACGCGGCATCCAAAAGTTCCGATCCCAGGCGGGAGTCTGTAGGATATGTTGTCCTTGAGATCACCCAGCTCTGATGGGTACCTGACTCAAGTTAGGGAAATAAAGGTGGCAGGAAATAGTGCTGACCACACTATCCCACAGTATGCCGAAGTCATTGAAACAGATGAACTCTACTTCATCTGCACCTTGTATCTTTCTCACAAAGAGGAAAAAAATGAAAATCTATGAATGCTATCAGACTCACAGGCTCTAGTACCCTGGTGGTTAAAAGTAACATTCATAAGAACAAACTACATGTAGAGAAAAGTACTAGTTGAAGGCTCAACAATAAACATTTTTACTTTAGAGCCTGAGTAAATCTACACACCCCATACTTGATTGGTAAATGTATTGCCATTGTTAAGTACAGCAGACATTATTTGACCTTATGATCGGCCACATAGTTGATAATCAGTCATTACCTGAGAATGTTATCAAGAAATGGGTACAGAAAGAAATTAACCAAGGTAAAACTCAAGCTCATCTTAACAGATTTAAAGAACATAAATATATATTGCTTCACCCACCCAACCTTTACTGAAAGAAAGAGTGAATATTTTTATTGTGGAAAAAACAACTATTTTTTTTTGGAATGAAATATAATCACAAGAAAGAAGTCAATCAGTATACTAATGAGAAAGAAAATTACAGATGGCAGGAGGATGCAAGACAATGGATATCAATATAACAGAAACATATTACTGTAATCAAATAAGCCCTCATCCCCCGACCCCGCAATATCCACCAGCGATAAAATCACATGTTTATTTTAAACACAGCAGCTTCTAGTTATGTTGAAAAAAAGATAAATTTACAGAATAAAGACAGTGAGTATAATGAGAGCTGCTCTATTATACTTATAGCTATAAATTGGTGGTTTAATATTGGTGTAATGAACACAGTTAACAGGCAGATATATGACAAGAAATTAAATTATTTCTCTTTTGAATGTTACTTGATTTATTGATAGCTATCAAGTACTTAGTATTATTGTTATGTGATGTTTAGTGGACAAATACAAAGGGCCAAGAATAGTCTTCCATTGTCATCTTCACAACTGCTACACATCAGATGCCCATTATCAGTATTTTGTTTGCTGTGGACACCACTTCTTGGAATAGGCAGAGGACAAGTGGAAAAAATGTTAAAGAACACAGCAACACATCAACTACAATGCATCAGCCAGAAAATGTCAACAGAAAAACAACATAACAGCACATCAACAGGAACATGTCAACAAAAAAGTACTTAGTCTAGAACACAGTAGAACCTAACCAACAATGCAGAAATGGAAAACTTTGAATGGTCATGCTAGGCAGATTGTATAAACCTTACTCATGGTCACATATAAGACTAAAGGAAGGGTTATCACTGTGGCCAAAACCCCACAGTAATCTAGTAAGCTGCAACATGGATGGGTAGAGAACAGTGAGCAGATGCCCCTCTCTTGCAGGTGGCACCAAGTTGAAGAAGGAGCTAATCGACCTATAATGATCTTGATAGGAGAAAGAGATGCAAGGGGGGATGCTAACACAAAGATAAGTAATGTATCACCACACTTAAGAAGATGTGCTCTAACATATTTGCAAATGAGAAGAGAGTTCTATGAATTTCAATGAAAACATAAATATTTCTCATAAAAAAAAATCATGGAAAACCCATAAGAATTAAATAGTAAATATCACAACAGATCTATTTATAATCTATAAATATAAAAGTGGATAGAGTAATACAGAATTTTAAAAAGTTTTAAAAAATCAGTGTAGCTCTTCTTATTCAATTCAATTTAAAATGCTCATAACTAGAGAACTAATCATTATTTACTAGTCAAACTTTTTTACAAGGATTATGGTGAATGAATTTTCCATAACTATTTGGATAAAATATTTGAATCAACGTAGGCGGCTGTGCAGTTTTGAAATGATGTATAAAATATTTTTAAAATCTGGTAAATGTTATTAAAATAAACATGACTGTTTGGTTTTTGACTTACTTTAAGATTGGGTGTATTTGATGTATAGTATTTTTACACACAAAATGAAAACTATCACGGCTGAACCAGGCCATGTGAAAAAAATAGTTTAATTTAAAATTGTATCGTTAAAGTTTTGAGTATAAATAACTGAGCTTTTTAATGAAGTGGGTTTTTCAGAATACCTATCATGGAGTTCCTGTCCATCTGATCAATGTTTGTCTTACTAAAGTGAAACTTCTAGTTATAACTTAGGCTTGATTAAAATACATTTAAAAGTAGCCTAACCTCAAAAAAATCCCTCAGGACTAGCAACTATTATAACATTGATTATAAAAGTTTTAAATTTCTTAATTATTTTCAGGCTGAAATTTTTTTTATGTATTGAGGGAAAAATCTAAAAAAACAACACTTTTATTTACATGTCAACAATAATGGCCAAAGCCAAACTGTCAAAGCATTTAACTCTAACTTCAAAGTACATATAAAAAAATTATGAGAACAAGTTTTAGAAAGTTTTTGACCATGTGTATGCAATTAAAAAATAAGTATATTTAATTACTGGCTGCACTAAAAACCAATAACTTTTTGATTAATTTCCAATTTATAGCTAATCTTTTTTTTCAAATATTAAAAAAAAAATTCAGAAATATTTTTCAAAAAGAAATAGGCCCAAGTTTTACCCCTTATTTTAGAAAGGTATTTCTGAAAATATTTTCAGAAACTTAAATTAAAATCACAAAACAATTTAGCCCAGTAACAGTATAAATAATAATTATTAAAAAATTATAAATACCTGAAACGGTTGAACTTTCTGAGGTGATGGTACGGACATGGATCCTGACATCTGCATGCCCCCCAGACCTGGCCCTCTAATGTAAACCTGTTGCTGCTGTTGCTGCATTACTGACTGTCCATTTAAATGTGGTTGCATATGTGATGTTGCTGCTCTCAGAGGTCTCACTTGTCCCATTTGCTGAGCTTGATTCATCATATGACCTTGTTGTGGCATATGCATTTTTCCCCCTGGTAGATGAGGCTGTTGCATTTGCTGGTGGTGTTGTTGGGGCTGCAAATGCATTTGGTGTTGTGGGCGAATGATTCTTAATCGCTCTTGAATGTCAAGCATCTGCTGAGATACTTGTTGGTTCTGAGGCATATTCATTAGCTGCTGTAACTGTTGCTCTAATCTTTGAGCTTCCATTGCTGCTTGCCCTGGAGGCATTAAACCCTGGTTTGGACTAATTGGCCCAACAGGGTAGTTTCCCATACTGCTGGGATTTTGCATAGTCAATTGTCCTTGCATGTTTAAATGACTTTGGTTAGAATTACAGCCACTTCCAGCTTGAACATTTCCCCCTGTTACCATAGAAACAGTGGAGCAAACAGTAGTTGTTGGGAAATTGGTAGTACTATATATAGGTCCCTGCTGCTGCTGACATTGCATGTTCGATACTCCTGGAGGTGAGGTGGAGTTTTGCTGCATCAGCTGCTGATAGGGGTTTGACCCAGCCATATTAGGTGAGACCAGCTGTTCTAGCTGCTGGAGGCTAGACTGTCCATAAGTTCCCTGAGAGTTGTTGCTATGGTTAGGTGTCATTGACTGAGGTGGAGGGGTTGGTCGTGGGGACGGTGTGGTACTACTTGGTCTGGCCTGAGACATAGTTGGGTAGGGTGGGCCGTACGCTGTGGTAGATGTCTGAGTTGTGTAATGAGGCATGGCACCAGGGCCATCAGGTCTAGTTTGCTGGCTGCCGGTATATTGTGGGTAGTGTGGTCCCATATTTCCTGAGTTTATTTGGTTTGGTCCATGCGAAGACATCATATCCCCTGGATATTGTGAAGTGTTTGGACCAGGCATTCCTTGGTTCATTTGTGAGTTGTAACCACCTTGTAACATAGAGTTATGTTGAGAAGGTGTTGGTACCTGATGAGAATAATTAGGATGTGTACCTCGAACTGACATTGAACCTATCATATTCATAGATGCAGGTGGACTAGCCATACCCCCCTGCATAGGATTTGAGGAGCACATATACGGAGATGTAGGAGCTGCCATTTTACTTGCCGGGTTATACTGATTTATTTGTGACATTTGTTGTGGGTGATATCCTTGATTCATGTAGGGTGACATTTGACCCTGAGGACCACCTGGCGATAAATATTGAGATTGGGGGTGTTGTTGACTCTGCTGGTTTGGACTAGTTTGAGTCTGATTCCATCCTGAGGAAGATGACATCATAGGAGACATTTGAGATATAGGCTGCTGCTGAGAGTGTCCGTGGGGTCCCATGTTGTAACCAGGGTATCCACCCTGTTGATTCATTATGTTTGGGCTAAATGGTCCTTGTTGACCCCCTGCTCCCATCATCATCCCTTGACTGTGATTTATCTTTGACATTGGATTGGGGTACTGGCCATACTGATCACTATACTGCTGATGGCCCATCATACTTTGCTGCATTCCATAACCAGAAACATCCTGTCCCATACTTGTTTGATAAGTACCCGCCATACCTTTAAAAAAAAAGTAAAGAAATTGTCAATACAGCATAATCACATAAAACTGAAATTACTATAAGCCTACTTATTATAATCTTTAAAAATCTTATTCTCTCAGCACTGAATGATCAGTTCCACCAGTCAAAGAGATTATTGTGTTTGTACACAAACATCAACGGTCATAAGGCAATTTAAAATATTTTTATTTGATCAGTATGTATTTTGAACAGAACTTTTCGTAGAGATAAAAAGAGTGTCGTCAATCTTTAATTTTGACATTTACCTGAAACAAACTTTCAAAAAGCTAGTTTACTGTTTTTACACAATAGTTCATAGAATGTTATTAACTTGACTATTTACAATGAGTTATAGCTTTTATATATCCTTAAAGCTCTTACTTTTTTTTTGTAAAAATACTCAAAACCTCTTTAAAAAATCTATTATATAAAGCAAACCAAGTAGACCTACCTTGCTGTGTTTGTCCCCCCTGCTGCATATGTTGTAGTGATAACATTCCTGAGTTTGGTCCTCCCATTATACTTCCATCACCCATTCCAGGAGGTGGCCCCAGATCGCTTGGACCTGTTCCAGCTAGCTCATCGAGAAAATTTGTTTCTCCATCGAAGAGCCCGAGCATTGGCTCTTCTGCCATTTTAGGCCTTGTGTTTTCTGAAACAACCATCAATTATCAATGAAAAATGTACAGTAAATTCTAAAAATCTTCTAGCATTTTATCAGAGTACAAGATAATTATCAATGTAAAAATGTCAGTTGGATCGGCAATTTAAGTCATAATTCTTTTACATAATATTATTATTTTTACCTTTAAAAACCACAGAAGGCCTGCAAATACTAGCTCTGCATCATCAGAGAGTATTTATGTCAGTAGGTACCTATAAAGTACCTAAAAGACAAAAAGAAAACTATTATAATGTGTTGAAAAATAAACTTCATAAGGAATGCACAAATAAAATGTGTTATTTTAAAAAATAAAAAAAATGAAGTGTTTAGGTCGAAAGTAAAAAATTCCCAAAACAAATTTATTGTTAAAACACGTCTACAAATAAAATTTTGTCCTGATATTTTTAGACACAAAACTTTTAAAATTACCTTATTGAAATTATTTATATGTCTATCCCACTCATGTATATATAGTAATCAAATTAATGTATTGTTGGCTTTTTGAAAACAATGTGTTCAATTACAAAGTTTCTGAATAAGACTGTTGCTAATATCTATATTATTAAACAACTGATAGCTACAATTCTAAATCATCTTTAAAGCTATTTACATCGGTACATTTTTTCAGCGTAAAACGTAAACCCAAAACAAATCATGAAAAGTTTAAATTACGGCAAAGTAAATCTAAAACTGTATTTTAACTAGAAAGTTGGGAGGACATATTATATTGAGAAAGAGCTCATTACAAATGGTACCACAACATGCGAGTGCCAAGATATACAAGATTTTAGAGATACAAGCTGTCGAGCGAGATAAAGTTTGCTTTGACATACATGCAAAATTTGAGATACAAGTAGCTGGAAAAGTTGGTTTAACAATTTGTGGAAAAGAAACACCTGTAAAGTTGAAATTGATTGTGAATCTGAGCCATTTAATGACACTTAACGCATTTCTGAAACATTCTAAAGGGGTCATCCATAAATGACGACACGCTTTTTTTTGGACGATTTTTACCTCCCTCCCCTCTGTCGCAAAAAGCCAGACCCCCCCCCCTAAAATGACGTCACACCTCAACCTACAACCCCCCTTAAAATTGCAGTTGAATTTTTTTAAAACGATATTTTTCTAAAATCTTGTCTAAACTATTACAATTTATTACAAATTATCTAAAACGCGAAATAACGTCTAAAATTCGTTTTCTTACATTGCTTTTTTTATAATGCAAAAATGTGACGTTGCAACATCTGAAACCCCCACCCCCTCATCACACATCGTCACAAAATTACGGACCCCCCCCTCCCCCATACGAGTGTGACGTCATTTATGGATGACCCCAAAAGGAAGGAAAAACAAACCTCATTAGACAGGTGTATTTTAACAGCCTGCTTCGTAAAGTAAGGAAAGCGTGACAAAATTAAGCGAGACTAACTAAACATTTAAGTAGTAGCATTTAGGTTCAATTTCCATCGTTTAGAGATTAAGTGGAAACAGCATCTTTTGTAAGCCCAAGTCAGCTTAATTCCAAGGTAATTATACTTCATAAAACCTGTTTATTTCTTTGCCTTACACTTTAGTATGTTATTAAACAATATTTGTCATGTGTAAATACACTTATCTGATGTAACAAGGAAAATTGAGGTGGCATTTTGGGGTCTGAAACAGATTAATGGCATTTCAATTCTTTTGAATAGAGAAAATTGCTTTGACATACGAGCAATGTTACAGAACAAATTAAACTTGTAACTCGAGGTACCACTGTTATTCCTTATCACTAATTAGTCACAAAAATAATTCAATGTTTGTTGATCTGTACTGTATGAACTAATTTAACACTGGGTTGTTTTTGTATTAATTTTTATAAACCTTCAGTTCACCATGCTAAGGTTGATATATGTGTTACATGTATAAGATAACTGATAACATTCATATATACATTTTTAATGTAGGGATTATGTTATCTATCATATTTCTGCCAAGTGTTTAACAGAAAAGTTCCCAAAAATAAATCAATTATTGATACTGATAACCTATCTCTATATTTGTTCATCCAGCTGGTGTTGTATACATTGTTTTTTAAGTCCTGGTTTAAAACAGGGCTTTGTTAACTCTGAGAGTGAGTTGAATAAACATTAGGAAGTGACTACTCAGAAGAAGCTTCTGCCTTCCAGCCTCTCCAAGGACCTAGGCTGGCTGGCAGAGGATGCAAAACGCTTTAGTTCTGTGCATGCACTTAAATAGCTGCACAATGGGCCAAAATTATTCTGCAAGAACTATCTGTACAGTGTAGTTGAGCGTTGGCATTTTTTTCATGATTCATGTCGGGTGTACTGTTCAATAACGGCTGGCAGTTAACTAAATGTAAATCTGACATGCTAATGACTAATGTGAATGATAACCCTAATTCAAGTTCTACCATCCATTGCCCTAACCCTAATTTAAAATTTTTAACCTTTACCGATAACCCTAACTACTAAGCCTGATATTACAATACTAGATTCTACTAACTAACAAGCTAACAGAAAACCTGTTTTGAGAAGTCTATTGCTGCATTGATGGGCATCTATAAGTTCTTGTACTTTAAAAATTTTAATTTTAACTAGACTAGGCAAATAGTCAAATAGAATAGTTGAAATAGGCTTTGGGTCTCTAAACTAATCGGTTAGTTTTAGCCCACAATAAATAGGCCCCTATGCCTAATTATTTCATATACAAAAGAAAGAGCTCTTCACTAACTCTACATACTCTATAGATCTAGTCTATAATCAAAAGTGTTGGGAGAAATATTTTTTTAAATAATTAGGTAGATCTAGAATCTAGATCTAGATATTTTGAGACTATGAGACTTTGGTGCTGAGTAGCTCAGTCAGTAGTAGTCAGTACACTAGCTAATACTACCCCACTTGTTATGTCATTTTTATAAACACGTGTATTAATGTGCGTATTACAAAGAGTGTAAACACTGCACAAATCAACAGCTACAACAAAACATGCGTGATAATATTCGATATATTGTTTTTCTATATATTTGGGGCTATAGATTTACCATACGAACAAAGGCAATGTTGCCTTTGAACGCCATTTCTATTCAAGTTTTGAAGATTTTTTTCTTTAGGCAGAGTCCAATCAGGGGTAAAAATTTGGCTCATCGCGGTCATTAAGTGCATACTTCTAAACAAGCTAATACAGAAAATAAAATATCGGTTTAGAAACGTAGAACATTCTTTAATTTTGACATTTACCTGAAAATTCCAACAACCAAATACGAAAATTAAATACGATGATTTTGTAGAGTAGAGCCACTCAACATCTTTCATTTATGAATTCAACGCGTCCCCAAAGAAGGGGAGCTGCGATTGGTTAATCTAATTTTAGTAACAAACTAGTTTTCTCGAAAATTAAGACATAAAAATAACTTGTAATCAACGAATAATGATAAAACCTTGTGTAAATAAAAATCTACATCGATTTAAAGTTAAAAATTAAATATACAACAGACCGTAGGTCTTTTTTGTACATTTTTTATGACATAGATCCTACAGAATGATCCATCCAATCAGAAATACTGACATATCGGATAAAAGGCAGACATTTTACTGACCTGAACTTGGTTTTAACCAATCAAAAAGTGTGAATTTATCTAAGGCCCGGATGGTGTTTCTAAAATTAGATTCGGAGGCGTCGCTTCGGTGACAAGGGGTCTTCCAAAACTTCAAAAAGTTTTGTTCTTATACTAAAGAGAATCTATGTTATGACCGCATAACCGTTATGACAATTAGATCTATTAATAGATTGAGTAATGTGCAATTTTTAAAAAAATTGGCTAATTTTGAAAAAATCACTGTTACCCAAATAAAAAAAAAAGAATTGCTTTAAAATAAAATTCACAAAACATCATATAAGATCAGATCTAGTTACAGTTTTTAGACGTTATTAAGTTAGCCGCGAGCGCTATAGCAATGGTTCTTCTGGGTTCGATTGAACCCCAGGGGTTCGGTGAGTCAGTCTTAGGGGTTCAGCGGAGGTCAAGACACACCCAACTCATGATTCGCGATCGGATTTTGTCTGTGTAATGTGGACTATAGAACTAGCGGCAGCGGCAGATGAGAATTCATATTCGACAACGCGACACAGTAATAAAGTGCGCCAGAGCGAGATATCAAGTATCGATATAGATCTAGGGATATTTCTAAATCGTGGAACAGTATACGTCACAAATCGTGTCAACGCCACATATACAGGCGCTTGTTGATCAGAGTTTCTTCCAGGCATCTCTACCGCCCCCCCCCCCCCCCCCCGAACGAAATGAAATTTATATAATTAATAATTTATATAGGAAATATATACTTTTAACAGTGTCCGCCCCCCCCCCCCCCCGAAGAAAGTTTACCGCCCCCCGATGATTTCAAGTGCCCCCCCGGAGAAAAAAGTCTGGAAGAAACACTGTTGTTGATCGTTTGGGCTATATACTTCTATAGTATATGCCTTCGTCCTGTAACGGATATAATTTTCATTTCTATATCTTGGCCCATGAAGTCGTGGCCAATGAAGTCGACGTGTGACTGTCATGATGGTATTGCCATTTGTCAAGTGTCGGACGAATGTGTAGGCGTCACGCGGGAGGGGGGGGTGCTCCGCAACGAGTGGCACCAAGACAAAAAAAATTGCAATAATATAGAGAAAAAAGGCTCTTTCCAGTTTAATAAATGTTTAGTTAAATGGTCTTTTAAGTACATATTGGCAAATCCCGATAAGTTGGGGGGGGGGGGGTGTTAACTTGCTAGTTGCTAACTATAGAGAAAACAATGCTACATTGCTTACATTCCCCTGTATTAACAACCGGCTTAGATACAAAAAAATTAAAACATAATTCCTATTAATTAGGCCTATATATGCACAGTTGAAAGCTATCACAGGGGGGGGGGGGGGCAGTGGCGTAGCCAGGATCGTCTCAAGGGGGGGGGGGGTTCCAATTTTTACCCGGGGACAAACTTTTGATTTTAACCCCCCCCCCCTCAAACTTTCGATTTGCACCCCATTCTCAAACTTTCGATTTGATGAACTTAACACAAAGAGAGTATTTCGTACATTGGCCGGCCAATGCGCGCACAGGCCGGGACGTACTGGCCAAAGTCCGAAGCCAAAATCAAGCAAAGTTTCGGACTTTGACTGGTCAATGGAAGGCGATATTGGCCAATACCCGCATTGGCCGACTTCGGGCTTTGACCGTAACACATATATATATATATATATATATATATATATATATATATATATATATATATATATATATATATATATATATATATATATATATATATATATATGTGTGTGTGTGTGTGGCTTCGTCTTATATACTAGGACATCTTTGCATGCAAATCATGTAGTTAAGACGCTGACCCCATATATATATATATATATATATATATATATATATATATATATATATATATATATATATATATATATATATATTTATATATATATATATATATATATATATATATATATATATATATATATATATATATATACCGACATATATATCAACTCATGCTTATACACAAGCTTATGCTTGTATGTTGCATATATAAACGTAAATAGGGAATTTGTCATATGTGTGTGTGTGAGTGGGTGTGGGTGTGTGTGTATTACGGTCAAAGTTCGAAGTCGGCCATAGCACGCATAGGTCGGATAATTTGCGCATTAGCCAATATCAACTCCTATCAACCGGCCAAAGTCGGACATTTTTCTTGATTTCGATCTTTTATATTTAAAGTAAATGACAAACATTCAAATATTTTTCTTCTCTATTTTCAATGTATACTACTACTTGTTACAATAATAGGCTGAACGTTTATCATAGTTTATGACATTTAGAAATACATAGTAGATTGTTGTTTTACACTTTCAGGAATTTGTTGTGCACTTGAAGATAATATAGCCTTGGCCGCCGGTCAGTGATTGTGAAGATGCAATGGTTAGTAGTGATTTTTTTCTCAGCGTCGACCGACGACAATGTGAGCAGTTCTTCTTGCAAAATTACCAACTTTCATCTAGAATACAGTTGTTTTAGAACACATTACTTGTAGTTAGAAAGCGCCCTCGAAATATGACAACTGCAAGGACGCTTTGGAGATTGCTGCGACCTCTGTCCAAACCTGAACGTCACACTCGGAGAGGGAGGGGATCCGTAATTTTGTGACGGTGTGCGATGAGGGGGAGTGGGGGTTCAGATTGTGTGACGCAGTGTGAGATGCCTAGAAGAAACTCTGGTATGACGTCACACTTTTGCATTATAAAAAGAAATGTTAGAAAACGAATTGTAGAATTTAGAAAACTGTTTAAATAAATTGTAATAGGAATTGATTAAAATACTCTTTGTTGACAGTTCAGACATTGATTGATTCAGTCAATGATTGTGAAGATGCGATGGTGATTTTTCCTCAGTGCCAACTGACGACAATAAGAGCAGTTTTTCGTGAAGAATGGAAAACTCACTTCTAGCATATAGTTGTTTTAGAACACAATGTTCCGTTCCTAATTTGTAGAAACCGCCCTCGACGCTCATGACAACTGCAATCACGCTTCAGGGATCACCGCGACCTCAGTCAACATCTGGAACACGGATGCGTACATTGTGACCCACATCAGCATCTTTAAATTTTGTATTTGACGTTTTAAGCATCTTAGCACCTTGAGTTTGCAAGCTAGAATGAGCTGCTGACCTGTGTTCCATAATGTCTTGTTTGTTGTGACATAATCTGCAGGTAATATTTCCTCCGTAACCTTCGTCTGCTTCATTGGGTATTCCACACATAGCATGGACATCGTTGCCACAGGATCCACAAGAATGAGCTGCACTACAATGTTTTTCACAAACTATACAGAATCTGTTGGCCACATTATTGTCACGCAACTGGTCTGGACGTTCCGCCACGGCAGCAGATGTGTTAGCTGAGGAAGTCGTTGCATATATGGCAACCTCCATTTTTTGTTCAATGTTCTCAAGATCTGGTTTCTGACGCCTACGCCATCTCAAGTCGCTTGGACACTATTGTTCAACTTACAAGGAACGCGGCAAAGTCTTTTGAACGTTCCGTCTTGTTGCACGTGGTCGGTGACGCCGACTGTCTTTGATTTTGTTCTTTGATGATTGTCATCATGGAGGAGGCTTTCACATACAATTGTAGCCCATATTTGGAAACTAACATGATTTACATTTTTTTTTCTTTTGACAGTCATCTGCTATGTCTGTCTCATGGTCTGACGGCCCTTTTGGTCCATGTCGCCTTGCGTATAGAATGCTATACAAACAAGAGCTAAACAATACGTTACAATGAAACCGCACCCAGAATAATGAAAACGCGATCACAACTTAGTCTAGATCAAACATTGGCCAGGACATCCCGGCCAGTGCGCGCATTGGCAGGCCAATGTACAAAATACGCTGTCAAGTTTACGCGCTTCGGACTTTGGCCAGTATGTCCAGGCCAGTGCGCGCATTGGCCGGCCAATGTACGAAATACGATCTTAGTGCTAAGTTCTTCGGGCTTTGGCCAAGAGAGCCGGCCAATGCGCGCACTGACCCCCCCCCCCCCCATGAGAGTGCCAGAACCTCCTACACACACACACACCCAGACAAACTTCCACACTAACACGTCTGTGAATACGAGACGCTGAAATCATTCATTACAAGAGCAACTTAAGAAGCTCCATAAATGACACGCATTTTGTGTGTGCCTAATTATGACCCTTGTCCACCTATCGTCATGTCTACGCATAAAGCCACCCCCCCCCCCCTAAAATGGAATAGATCTAGATCTCAACAAAATTTCGCATGATCCGAACGCTTTGGCCCGCGCGCTGCTAAACAGATATAATAATTTAGATTCAATAAAGTAACGGCTGGATAGTTACAATTCGTGCGTCGTGTGTTTAGTTTTAAGTTCAAAAGATGTCGACAATATAAACAAATTATTGTCATGTTTTGGCCGCATGGTTTCCCCCCGTTCTTGTATGGCTCATGAGGGGGTCCTTTTTTTGCGCGACATGGTTTAGGATATGAGATGGTAGGTCAGAGGTGGCTAGCATGGTTCTTTCCTTCTTCGTTCTCCAACACAAATAATATTACGTGTCAACATGTTATGTACCATGTGGCCCGTTAACTCCACTTTCATCCTGATTTTTTTTTCTGGATTAGCTATCATAGCCTTTGTCCATCCAAGAACAAAGTGCAAGGCAGCAGTTGGATTTCGTAGTTTTCTCTCCTAAATGGATTACTAATACTATCATCAGCTTAAGAGAAACATCTGCCAGGGGGGAGGGGGGTCGCTAATGGTTCTGACTAATTTCGCTTTTTAAAATAGAAATGTGCCGAATTTACTAAAAAATACAAGGATCGCAGATTTCCGCTATGTCAGCCTAGCAATAGCATACAAGAGGAGTCTAGGCCCCTAGCCCTAATTCACTATTATGCTACTCTTCTACGTTGAAGTCAACAACCTAGCAAAATGCATCATGGGACGCTGTACTAATTTAGGAAACATGGCGAGTTTTAGCGACGACGAGGGATTTGAAGTAAGTTTATTTAAAAATAAATTTGACCTATAGATCTACTTGATTTACTCATACAAATAAATAGTTTAAAAAAAATTTAAGTATGAATCAATGTCTGATAGTAATAAACATTATTGTATCAAACTTTAGAGAAAAGATAATTTGTAGCAACGATTTTTGAGATTTGCAGTTACCCACGCTTACACCGCTTATCACCCCTTCTCCAATTAATTTTCCTTTGACCCGGTTGTACTATCTGGTTTCTACCACTACAGGCTGAGGAAACTGGGGTCAATTTTAAGAACCATCTCATTGTTCATAGTACAAGAACTGTAGTGACTAAGGAATTGTGAATAATAATAAATAACTCACGACGATGTGGTAATTAAAGTAGCTAAAGTACTAAAAGTAGTCTAGATCTAGATTCTAGTTGTTAATCCAGCTACTAACTAGAAGAAGCTACGATTTAAATTATTTAGATCTAGAATCTACATCTAGATCTAGTAGTTAGCTGAGGTGAGGATCTTGTTTTAACCTATTTCTAGATCTAAGTCACAGCGGGGCTGCGATTGCGTCTGTACTCGGCTTATTTCTATTGATACTCGACTACCCAGATAATATTGAGGCGTGGGTAGTCAAAGATTTAATTTTCAGAATACAGGGCTTACATTTCATTTACTAAATTATAGAAGTTAGTAGTAGGCCTATTTAGAAAAATCACTACTTTACCACTTATTACTTAATTTGATGTAATTAGATCTAGATCTAGATCTAGCAATCACTATAGTATAGATCTAGTATCTCTAGTACTTGTGAATGTCACCACAACAAGCATTGCCCCATATTTATTATCACCCCTCCACTAAAGTTGTGACTAGAGGCTGTCACGAGTTTATCACCCTATAGATCTACTTATACTCAGACTATACTGGAAGATAGACTGGCAAGTGTGTTTTGATATTCTTTGATACAAGTTTAATGTAATACATTTGATTAAATACACCCCTACAGGATATTTTTATTTTGTTATTATTAGACCTCTGATCTGATATGACAGTGATATGTGTAAACTGTAAGTTAATTTAAAATTTATAGATCAAGTCCTGGCCTAAAAACATATAGATCTAGGCCTAGTTAATAGTAAATACTATAGGACCTACTGAACAAATGCATTTTAATTTGTCATGGTAATAAAAGAAGCAATAGGCCTACATGCCTAGATGAGATGTAGATATACATCTAGATATATTGTGTTAAGTTAATACAAAACCTTAAGTAAATTTTAGTTCAGGTACATTTTTTTTTCTCAAATAGATTGTATAGATAGTGTGGCTAGTACCCAGGCCCTTACAAATTCTACTTCTCCACACAATCTAAAATCTAGGTACTAAAGTATTTTTGTACCCCTTGTAGTAATTGCATTGTCCTCACTGTATAAACCACACCACTTCTTTTTAGAGTGGATGTTTCAGACACTGTCATGAATTTAATAGTTTTAAAACTTGTATATGTGCAGAGGAAGGGGTATCATGGTTGAATAGTAATTCTGGGCTTAGTGCTTACCACATTAGCCCCCCTTGGGGACAGATGGAATTGTAAAATTTAAAGTTTATTGATTTTCCTTTCATTTAAAAAAAAATCAGAAACAGGTTGAATCTATTCTTGAACAAAGAAAGCGTAAAGGAGCAATTGAATACCTTGTACGTTGGAGAGGTGCTGGAGAGAGTCAAGAAAGTGAAACTTGGGAACCTGCTAAAACTTTAATCATCAATTGGGCACAAGTAGTCCAAGATTTTCTTACAAAAAAGAAGGTACAGGTTTTTTGTTCATGTGTTAGTGATGTATATGGTCACAGTACTCAGAGATATTTCTTATTCTTGGTGTGGTTGGTTTAGAGAATAATTTGATGTAATTTTTTAATTATTTTTTTTGCAGGAAGAGAAAAAAAGATCTACTTCAAGATCCAGAAAAGGCTCTCGTTCAAGGTCTAGATCATCTTCGAGAAATAGAAAGACAACCAAAGCTGAGGAGAAGACAAAGTCAAGATCTCGTTCACGGGGGCGCCCTAAAAAATCTTCGTATCCACCTAATGAGCCGGAAACGTCAAATGAAGGATCTGAAAATAAGAAAAATACCAGAAGTAAAAGTAATATAGTCATTTCAGAATCTAGTACATCAGTCACCAAAGAAACTGTAACACTACAGGAAAGTACTAACAGCATTGAAGCAAAGGTAATTTTAAAATGCTAATTGTTATTGTTTAACCCGTTACTGTCCTATGTGCCGCTTTGGCCCAAGAATTTTCTTAAGTGGTACAGTCTGATGCATCTGTACTTGCCTGAGCTATTTATAATACATTTATTTACGCATAGTAAAAGAAGTCTCCTTGGTTATGATGTTTTAAAGAAACTGGTGGAAGCGGAAATTTATTACTTTTATTTACATTGTATTCTTGTCCTATCACTAGCAGTTCTTTTTCTAAATAAAATTAGAATGCCTTTGTCATTGAATCAGGCTTAATTTATATTTTAACACACTTTAATATTCAAAAAGAAGACACTTCCATTGATTAACCCTTTATTTACGGAATTATGTTCTGAATGACATTTTTTCTTAACCAATGTGTTATCATATTGCTTTTGGCATACTTAAAGCATATGTCGAAGGAAATTTTGTTGTTTCATAAATTTTTAATGGCCCAAACAGATATTGGTACTTACAAGTACCGTCAGGAATGTAGGACATTTTTTTCAAAAAATTTTTTTTTTACAAAACACGAACAAACGATACAATTTATTAACTAATAACATGGCAATCATTATAACCGTCATTTTTTGTAATTTTCACACATAAATACAGCACAATAGTATATTTTGAGTACGATTTTTATTGGATTTTCTATCGGAACACATCTTAGACCTCAAATACAGCAAAAGTTGCCGACATGTCATGCTCCCTCATTCTTGTCTGTGGTCATTCTGGTGTAGCAACAGTTGCCGCACTGAACATGCTTTTGCTGGAAGCTTCCAATAGCTATTACAATGAGCCGCATAAACAAACAAAAGCCTAGTCATTCAGTACACAACTACTAGTAATACTAGTATAATTGTAGCCTACTAGAATGTTATGACAAGTCTACACTACAGTGTAAATTTCATAAATAGAAGTGAGCTCAATGTGTTTAGGATAGCCGAAGTGGCCTACTGTTTCCTGGTGACGGATTAAAATTTACCATAGAGATCTATACTATATGCAGAAGTATCGACTATTACTAGTCTACAGATATACATTACGTAAATACTAGTTATTGTATGCAAGACAGTTTATTGCAGTAAATATAACTAACAAATTAAATCTTACAACTAGAACCAGGCTTTGGTATACAAATGAAGTATACTAAACCTAGTAAACGAGCCAGCAACTGCTACCTTTATTCTTGTTATTCTTTTACTACTAGAAATCAACATGTAATTACAATATTTCTTATGAAACCATATGCTAACTTTCTTATAAATGTGTAAATATCATTTTTTGAGTACATTTCGATAATTAATTATCAAAATAATATTTATGTCACTCCACATCGAAAATCTTCCATTTCCTAAAAATCCTAAAAAAATGTCCGTGTGCCCTGACGGTACTTATAAGTCCACTTGTAAACCTCGATCTAATACAAAGACAATTTGATTAAAATTGTATAACTAGAAGTTAAACACGTTTGCCTGACTATTGGAGATGCCAATAAAAAATATTTGGGGATGAATACTTCAAGAATAAGGTAAAACAAAAGGAAATCAGGAACGTGTGTGAGAACGTTACAGAACAATTGTAAACTACCGATACAGCAAGACATTGAAATTGGCGCCATACCAAAAATTTTCAAAGTACATCAATCCCTCCAACTACCGGCTACTCAGGGGAGATAATACTATTAATTACATCAATAATTTTTAAAATTCGTATTAAATTAAAAATTATACAGGCACTTAATTAAAGTGGTACTTATAAGTACCGTCAGTAGATAAAGGGTTAAGTAAAAAATGTTCTAGCATTAAAAAAAAAATTCGGTTTGAAATAATTATATTAGAGGTAATGTTTTGTTTTCTGGGATTATTGATATCTTTATGTATTATTAGTAAATATAATAAACTTACACCATTCTCCTGCATAATGTTCTAGCATTAAAAAAAAAATTTCGGTTTGAAATAATTATATTAGAGGTAGTGTTTTGTTTTCTGGGATTATTGATATCTTTATGTATTATTAGTAAATATAATAAACTTACACCATTCTCCTGCATAATGCTTTTAATTTTATTTTTGTAACATGGATATTTTTAAATGCATTTTTCTGAAGTGCCAGTGGTAGGTGGATAAAATTTAATTTATTCCATGTGTTAGATCCTGTGGGTAGTTTTCAAAAGCAGTGAACTTTTCATATAACCATCAGAGTATTTTGTTACTTTTTCTCAAAAACCTTCAAAGTTTAATGATTTTATATCATATTTTCATAAAGCACAACATTTTAACCTAATTCCTGTATAGTTCGAATTGGTTGGCATTGATTGTTAAAACATTTATCATAAATATTGTTTAGGAAATAAATTGAATTTACAAGTAATCTTTTGTGTCATGGTGTCGTGTCAGTTACAAGTAATATTTTTTAGAATCAAAATATTTTGAAGTGTCATAACCTAAGGCAATTTATTTTAGGACAACACAGACTCCTCTGAAAAGATGACAGCTAAATCATCAAATAATTCTAATTCTCAATTGGAAGTTCAGCGTGTTGTTAATGAACAGTGCCCAGCTTCTGAGGACAACAAACCAAGAAGTGCTATATGGAAAGTTGCAGATTATGCGGTCATTGTTCTTTTCATACTCTCACTGATTGCTGCAATTTTCCTGTTTCTTGAAAAAATTTTAGAGTAAGTTTGAATGTAATTTTTATAAACCTTTTTATATATCTGATTATCCTTTAAAAATTCCCCTTGTAACCTAAGGATCAGTAGGGAAGATATGAAATGATAGTGTCCCCTTCAGGGTGGATTCAATAATTACCCTAAGCTCAGTATCCAAACCTAAGAATTTCTAGTTTGCACTTCTGTGCTGTTTTATCCTGTAATTTTCCCATATTTTCTTAAGTATATAAGTACTATTATAAAATTTCATTGTTTTATTTTACTACAAAGTATTACTTTTCATATTTTCAGTTTGGAGGATTTTAAAAAACAGGCCCTACCCAACATGCGAGTATTGCAAGAAAGACTGGAAGCTGGAAAAAACAGTTTCATGGATTTAATTTTTTATTGTCTAGATAGCATCACTCATTGTTGGTTTAATGTTATGGAGCAAATTAAGGGTGCAGAGAACACTAAAAAATCTGCTTAGTATTGTTTTGTTTTTATACCATATATTATATGATTGGTCATTTTGAATAAGTAGCCTAAAGAAATTGTTTTCAGCTGGTTTTTAAAATTGATTTAATAAATTATTTTGAAATATTCTTCACTTGGTTTAGAGATACATAGATGTGTGGAAAGGTTGGATTTTCTTTTAAGGAGGTTGTATCTTAAATTCTAAAAAATTATTTTTTAAAAGACAGTCATGTGTAAAATTGCAGCCAAATAGTGTACAGAATGCCACATATAGGCAGCCTTGCATGCTGTTTTTGCTTAGTTTGTTTGACACTCCCATCAGTAGATTTTTTCACTTTTATACCATTTTGATAATTTAGACAATTTTTAGCAAATGTAAATCTGTTAAAGCAGTTTATGTATGTGTTCTTCATTGTACAGATGTTTTGTTTTAATGCAGTTGGAATTTTAAAATTATTTATTAGACGTCCTACCATACTAATTAATTATTCATTAATTATTAAATATAATCATATATTGCATGACATAAATTAAAATAATTTCTCACATAAACTTTTGTAAAGTCAAGGTCACGGCCGTAAACTGTATGCTATTGGCAAAAATAATTTTTATACCCTGTATGTTATGTTAGTTTTCATCTGTGTGGTGTCAGACATTTTTTTAAATGAATACATTTATGATCCCTATGGTTGATCTGTATCAACTCATCAAAATTACTTTTTTACTAATGAAAATAATTGTCACTTTTCAAAGTTCATTTATTTTTGTTGAACAGTAAAAGCTTAGCAGTATTGATTTGAGCCATTATAGCTCTGACATTCCACACTAACTCATCAATTAAAAGAAAACTAAACGTTTTGTCTTGTTTATTAATAAAAAGATCATATACACCCCTGTGCAATTATTTTAAAATTGTTCTTCCACTGGTTTATAAAGAACTGCTATTCTAATTCTGCTGCAATTATCTAGAACACTTTCAATAAGTTTATAATTTTATTTTAAATGTGGTACTCCAGTACCTGTGTAGCTAATAGGTAGTAGAATTTTATAATTTAAAGACATTTTTTAGGTTTGTTCTTTTACTGGTTCTTTATGAAGCTTAAGGCTTAACAAAAGCACTAACATCCACACAAAAACGCTTCTGAGTTTACATTGTAACTGTATTCAGCTTAAAGAACATTTGTTTAGCAAGGTAACATTAATTTATGTTGGGCCTTTGGTCCTCTGTACAAATAATTGAAACAAAAACTCACCGTACCAATATTTAATTTCCAATGTTTAAACGAGAGGAAAAATAAATACTAGAAATTTTATGTATAGATAGTTATTTTTTTAGTTTTCACATTCTGCAAATATTTCGAAAAATCACCACAGCAACTTAGGATCTGAATAGTATCATCTGCCAATGACATCACAGTATGCTATGGGTTTGGTGTATAATTGATCAACAGATATTATAGTGTATTTTTATGCAAACAAAAATTTGTGAAAATCGTGTCATTATAATGAAAAGCATAAACATAAATTATGGAGGGTGTGTAAGTGTAACTGACAATTGGGAGACTAGAATAATAGCTTAGAATTAGAAATGATATCTATTTGAACAACCATCAATTGCTTGCACTATCAATTGCACCAGCACAAGAATAGAAAAAGGAACCAATTTATTCAAGCTGAAGAAGCAGACAGGTTTATTGATAGCTCTTGTAAAAAAAGGGGGGGGGGGGGAGGTGCAGTTCTTTGTGAATGTCCACATTTAGAATTTGACTAAGCAAACAATCGCTATACATATAAACAGCAGTGCAAGTGTTCTTTAAACAAGAGATAATTAAGTTGCAGTAACTGCATATAAAATGAATATAGTACTTCTGCAGCAGGGAGCTATAAAGAAAATTAAAGTCGGAATCATTAACCCAATGTGGTCTTAGAGCTTACATAATACTGTGTAGTTGGTCTCTATAACTATACATTATTAATAGCATTGGGAGGCACAAATTTATTTGTTTCTCAACCTTATAATTTGCTCATAACTTCTGTTTGTGGCTAATGTAACTCAATTCTGACCAACTTCTAACTTTAACAATATCAATTTCCTCATTAATTAGACAATTTAACTTAAAAATAAATAATATTCAATACTAAAAGGGAAGGTAGTGAGATAAAATACTAACTCGCAATCACTTGACCAAAGTGTGTGACCTGTTTATCAAGGTTGGATACTTTCTCAAACTAGGTAGGGGCAGATTATCTTTTAGATCACAAGCTACTGGTTGGGTTTTAATGAACATTTTTTGCTGTCAACTGATTTATCTAAGACATTAAATATTAATTTAACTACTTTGAAACTAGGTAGAGATAAGATTAAGAACTAACAATTAATCAGCTTGCTGTCATTTGTGAACTGTTGACAAATTATTTCATTCACACATGAAAATGGCCACTGGAATTGAGAAGGGGCAGACAATGGTCTTTCAGTGAACACATGCCACAGATTTTTTTTAAACCAAATATTTTTAGTTGTAGCCTATGTAGCTTTGACTTAAAATTATCACGTGTGTGCAACCACTCTATTGCTAAAAAGTTTAAAATAAAACAAATATAAAAAACTTTATAATAAGTTTTTAAATGCACTGAAAATTGGAAAATAAAACAATTTTAAAAAATAAAAGCTTTGGTTGCTAAAAATATGTAAGATCTCATGAGCAACCAAAGATTTTATTAAAGAAACTTAACTTGTTTTATTTTTCTATTTTCAGTGCATTTAAAAGCTTGTTATTATAATTTATTATAAAGACTTTTTTAAATTTGTTTTATTTATTGAATAGTATACTATAAATAACAGGCCTATTGAATTTTTTTTGTAAATGTCCAGATTGGAGGGGGGGGGGGGGTGTTAGGATGGGTAAACGGAAAAAAAGTCACAGGAAAAAAAAACACAGAAAAAAAGTCACAGTTTTTGCTAGGAAAAAAAGTCACAGAAAAAAAGTCACAGTGGAAAAATTTTATCGGAAAAAAAGTCACAGAAATAAAGTCACAGAAAAAAAGTCACAAAAATCTTTTTAGAAATATTTTTATTAATTTGTTAAGAATTGTAAAATTTTGTATGTTTATTGTTGTGGGTTGTATTTTTTGATAGCATAAATTATTTATAAACGTTAAAAGCATTATGATTTATAACAATTGTAAGTAAAAATACTCTATGATAATTAACACAACAATCTCAACTTTTGTTACGTATTTAGTTAAATACGCGGTAGAAAAGTTAATTATAAAAGAAATTTAGGCACATTTTGCCGTAGGCTACTCTCTGGTCGGCCTCTCCTCAGTACGCATTGTCCGAACATATTTTGTGTGTTGACGTTATGCGTCAATGACAGCATTTGAACCTTGTCGGCTTTCTGTTTTGATCCTCAGTTTTGTTATGTAATGAGCGTGATAAATGTGGGCAGTAAAGGTGGTTGAACTAAACATAACTATTGTTGCAATGAGTTGAGGGCAGCAAGTCAGATGAACTTACCATTTCACGGTAATTTAATATTGGTATTTTAAAAAAACACGATGAAAAACGTGGACTTTAGAGCATTCTATTAAATGCTACTAATCTTAAGTTTAAAATAATTACAATCTATATACTTCATAATAAATATTTTTAGATGAATTATAAAAATTTCTATGCGTATACAGCCTACATACATTACATTCATTTAATTAATCCTAAGTTTATTTGCACTCTCTAAATATGTAATACATAAAAGTATTAACAAATATCATGCAAATATATATTTGTGACTTTTTTTCCTGTGACTTTTTTTCCTGTGACTTTTTTTCCTGTGACTTTTTTTCCTGTGACTTTTTTTCCTGTGACTTTTTTTCTGTGTTTTTTTTTCCTGTGTTTTTTTTTCCTGTGACTTTTTTTCCTACAATCGTTAGGATGCATGTTCTATGAGCATAAATTGGTGCAAATGAATGTTAGTATGAGTGTAAAATAAACTAATCGAAGTGTTACGCATATTAAACAAAAAAGTGACATAGAAGGTAAAAAGAATGTTGTTGCCATAGTGAGTATAACTTATAGTTATACTGTTGATGTGAGAGGTAATCTGGGTCCTGTCAATGACTAGTCCACTCGAATACTAGACTGATGATAGCAATGGTTTGAATAAAGACTCAAATAGAAAGAAATTAGTATCAGGTCAAGTATATTCACGCTGTATGTGACCAAGTGTTAACCTATAAGTAGTATAAGAAGGGATATTGGTAGTGGAACGCCCATAAAGGTTGATAATGGTATGAAAAGATGAAGCCCTATCACAGCAACACTAATAGGGAGTAAAAAGTGGAGATATAAATATGTGTATTAATCTCAGACTCAACAATGACAGCAATGTAAAACAAAAAAAGGGTCGACCAATGGACTATTTTACACATTACATCCATAGTGCATACACAGAGGTTTGTAATTATGACAAAAATTGTACACATATTTTCAATGTATTTTTACAACTGAATGAATTAACCTCAGAAGAGTTTTTTTTTTACGTATAAACACTTGAAGCTCAAATCAAATTTAAAATAAACATAAAAAATCTGATGCCTAAACAGACATAGGGCCTATTTATGTGGTAAAGGATGATATACACATTTAAACCATCAACAGTTTTTTATTTCCAAAAATTATAACCATTAACAAATCTGAGACTAAGGGTATGTGATGAGTGTTATTAGATATAAGTACTTCAGAGTGATTATAAATGTTCCCTTGCATTTCCTACACTAAAAAGGTCAAAACATGATAAAAGTAATTACTTGTTTGAAAACATTTAAAACAAATATTGTATGCTTCATTGAGTAAAAATTGTAGAGAATTATAAAATTATCAAAAATAAAAAAAAACAAAATTAATGATAGTTTTAGTCAATAAAAATACATTCAAGAGAGTCTGGCTGCACTAAAGCATTGGTATCTGGAAAAGGAGCATCCAAATTCTGTAAAGATTCATTGTTTATAGTGTTGCTGCCAGCTTCAGAAATATCTGCAACAGGCCTGCTGTCATAGCTTGGCATTAACCTATCCTCATAGGTATTTGCTGTCAAACTGTCAATGAAAAGGAAGTTGTCTGGAGTGGTATTTGCTGATGAAGTGGTAGCTAACATGAGACTATCTGCTGAACTATTTGTTGTTACATTATCAGTGGACATGAAGCTTTCAGCAGTGTTATTTGGTGTGAAAGGAACAGTCTTGGATTCTTTTCTCTTAACCTCTTTAGGTATTTTACGCTTTGCTGGCCTACCTCTATTCCCTTTGGACTTGCGACCTCTAGTACCCTTGTATCTAAATGTGTGAAATAGAGAATTCATATTCACTCTAGAAGTGGGCAAAAGTTGAGTGTGTATTGGACTCTGGCTGATATTAGGAGTGGCGCAAGGCTGTTGCAACTGATAGCCTAATGATATAGCTGGGGTGTTAGAAAGTGCCATTGTGTCACCAATAACATTTGAAGATGGCATTAGATATACACAGCTAGGCTGCTGGTTAATATTAGGAGTGACACAAGGCTTTTGCAAATGATAGGCTAGTGACATAGCTGGGGTGTTAGAAACTGCCATTGTGTCACCAATAACATTTGAAGATGGCATTAGATATACACTACTAGGCTGTGTGCCTTCAGTTCCCTGTCCCATGTTAAATGGTACCTGTACTGCTGTGTAAAATTGTCCAGCTTGGACAACTTGAGAACTTTGGTGCAGCTCATTTGGTAGGCTCAACTGAGTGCTGACAAAATCCAGATTTTCCATGGCTTGATGCTTTGGTAGAATGTACCGTAATGAATTCACACCATGATTTACCTCAGGATTAGAATTTGGCATGGGAGAAGTGCTACTGCTTGTTGGACTGTTCATTTGCTCTAATTGAGGTTTTGGTAAAGAAGACATGGGACTGTTAACAAGATTTTTTGCTGGGCCAATTTTAAAACACTGCATGGAAGTCATTGAACTATTTGATAAACTTTGCTTTTGCCCATAGTGGGAACCTTGCACTTGCACTACTTGCAAAGAAGGTGCAGAATTTTTTGGGAGACTGTTCACAAAATTTGTCTCCACCTGGACTTTAGAGCTTAAGTTAAAAGTACCTGCATACAAGACTGGTACTGGTTGGTCACTAAAAATGTTTTCCCACTGAGTGCCCTGATCTACTTTACTCACATCATTTTTTTTACAACAGGGGTGGGTTAAATCACATTGTTTCAATATGGTGGGCTTGACATAAACCAAAGATACTGGATAAGGTGATGTGTCTTCTGCTGCTCGCTGCCTTCTACTTGAAGCAAATCTGCCTCTTGATGGTTGCCTTCTGGTTTTTAATAGCTCCCTTTCCTTTGACTTCTCAGCTTCAAAATTCATCACTGTTTCTATATCTACTTCAGGGTCTCTGTCTATTTCTAATATGGGTTGTGTTGGATTGTGAGGGGGGGATAGAGAATTAAGTTTTTTAGTTTTTTCTTTAGTCACAGTAGCTTGTTTCTGTTTATTTATGTCAACACTTTGTTTAGGTATTTCAGACTTGGGACGCAACTGCCTACCTTGAGTCAACAAAGACTTACGCAACATACGTTTGTTGTTAAACAGGGTTGTCATGTTTAAAACTAACTGTGATCTTGAAAGACCTTTTGCTTTTAGTTTAGATTTTCTGACAGCAGTAGTGCTAGCATTTCTGTTGAACAATTTTTTGTTTTTTTCAATTTTACTAAAAGTCAAACCATGTGAATGTTGCTGTCCAATTTTTTTTGGACGACCTCTTTTCTTCCTCTCTACAAAAAGTTTATCGGGGTGAACTTTCTCGCTGGATGAGCAGGTATCAGTAGATGAGCTAGTTTTCTTCCTCTTTACAAATGGTTTATCAGAGTGGACTTTCTCACTTGAAGAACAGGCTTCAGTGGGTGAGCTAGTTTCACTGCTTTTAGGATTACCAGACTTTTTCAATGTTGTAAACTCGTTGAAAGAATAGACATTAGCAACTTTAGACATTTTAATGGGTAAGTTTATGTCATCTGATTTCTCCGCCTGAGCGTTATCAATTATTTTCTTAGGCCGTCCTCTTTTTCTTGGAATTTGAAACGGTTTTTCTTGTTTGAATAATTTTCTAGGACGCCCTCTTCTCCTTACTAAATCAGTTTGTTCTTCGCTTTGAGCTAGTTGATCTGTGTGCTCAAGTTTCTCTGTTGTGATTACTCCTGTGTTGGTTGAAAGATTGTCTCTATTATCTTTAACAGTAGTTGCATCAGTTACTTTACCTTTTGAAAGGCGTGTTCTTGTCTCAACAGGGGCTACTGAGTTATTTAACTGCAAGGAATTATTATAAGTTTCTTCTAGTCTCAGGACTTTAATACCAACGAGGGAATCGCAGCGCTTGAGTTTAATTATAAGTTGGGGTAGTTTTTCATATCCCATAAATTTACTTATTCTTGTACCTCTTTTATCGTCCTCACGAACATTAAAATTTTCATCCTTAGATGTTAAGGAAAAAGTATTTGAAGGAATATGGCTCTTAGTGCCTTTATTCATGCTTTTATCACACATATTTGATAAAACAACATCTAATGGCTTAACAATAGGAGATACAATCTTGTCATGAGATGATCTGCGGTTTACCTTTTTCTTTAAAGTGCTAACCTCAGTATCATGTGGCGTACGACAAGAAGATACAGTCTTATTAGATGGCTTGCGTTTTTCAAATTTTTTCTTAAATGCATCATGTTCTTTTTCAGGTAAATCATTTTCTGGTACAGTTTGACTTTTTGTTATTTCACAACTCTCAATTTCAAGAGGTCTATTATCACTTTCTTCATTTTCACTTAAAATAGTTCTGACAGCCACAAGTTCTGTTAAAGTAAAATCTTCTAGAACTGTTTGATGTTTAGATACATGTTCATCTGCCTCATGTATTTCTGTAAATAAATCATTTTCTAAGTCTTTGTTCTCATTTTTAGATCTGATACTATGTGGGGTATATTCCATTTCACTTAAGGTATCTACTGCTGAAACAACTTCCATTAAAAGTGGCCCTCCATCTATGTCTGTATTCACAAGTTTAGGCCCTATGAATCCAAGAGAAAAGTCATTATATTCATCCTTGCTGGATGATGGACTGTGATTTGTATCAACTGGTCTTAACAGTAGTGTATCATCCTTAGAAAAGTTGATGTTTTCTGTCATGTCGACTTCCATGTCCATATTAAAAAATCATTTAAAATTCTTCTGAAATGTATAAATTTTAAGAAAAATTGTAAGGTTTAGTTAATGAAAGCAAGTTACATAAACATATTTATTAAAACAACAAGATCTATTAATAGTTCATGAATTGCTGAGGAATTGTGCATAAATTAGAGTATGCAGATAAAGATATTTTCATTAGTGAGTGTAGATCTAGTAGAAATCTAGATCTAGATTCTAGTAGATCTAGTACTTAGTGTAGTGGGTAATCTATCATTTTAGGTACATAAAATCGCCCGCGGCTTGTAATGTACGAAAAAGTTACCTCATTGTCAAGGCTTTAATTTAATAGAAGTATATTGTGTCAAATATTATAGATAAATGAATAATAAATCTAAATCATTAAATCAATGGCTAAATATATCAATATAGAGATCTAGTATATAGGCAAGAAATTAACTTTAAACAGCAGTGTTTGCGAGCAGGATTTGCTATATAAAAAGCGGCCATCTGTAAGTTAGAGTGGCTCCCCCTGAATCTTTCGCTGTATAAGTTTACAATAAAAAAATAAACAAGATGGCTGTTATCGTAAATGAACATGGTTGCATCTGTTGGAAACATCGCTAGTCTTCATTTATTACTGAAAAGTTTTAATTCAATTGCTTAAAAACTGGTACATAGTTACTACATAGGCCTAAAGGAGTAAATAAAACAAGGAAACATTTTTGTATTTTTCAAAACATAAATCCTCCTCAAAATGTGAAATAATTATTAAAATTTAAGGAGTCACCTGTTTTTCACATTACTAGTCACGGGCGATTTTACACGTACCTAAGACCTAAAACGATAGACTAGTAGATCTAGTAGTAGATCTACGTACTACGTACCGTGTAGTCAAGTGTAGTTTAGACTCTTAGAGTTTAGAGTTTAAGTGTAGTTTGTAGTGCGACATGAAACTAACTAAAGTTTACTTAAGTTAAAATTTAAATTAATGAACATACATCAGAATAGACTCAATATATTTAGAGTGGAGAGTAACATCAAGTCTAGATAGATTTTGATCTAGATTTCTAGAGCCTAGATATAGTCTAGATCTAATCTAGAGTCTAGAGCTACGCAGTAGTACGCAGTACACAGCAGAGTTTTAAACTCGAGAAAATACCAAAGGGAGGCAACTTCAAAATAATAATGGCGAAGCCATCTTAATCTTATTTGTCAGTCTAACAAACAAAAAGCATTTTTTTTAAAAATGTAGCAATAAATACTTAAGAAGACTCCCGCACAGAGTTTCTTCCAGGCATCTCTTCGGGGAACGAAATGAAATTTATATAATTAATATAGAAAATATATACTTTTAACAGTGTCCGCCCCCCGAAGAAAGTCTACCGCCCCCCCCCCCCGAAAATTTCAAGTGCCCCCCCCCCCCCCGGAGAAAAAAGTCTGGAAGAAACACTGCTCCCGCAGTTCTTCCAGTTAGTCAAGACTAGTAGACTGATACCTGCCATATCATTCCAGCATTTTTTTTGTAAATAATCCGCATGTTGATACTACAGGACAAACTAGTGACAGAGGCGTAGCGACCCGTTCCGGTGCCCGGGGCTGATAATCGATTTTGCGCTTACATTTATATATGCAGTTTTTCACGTTGTCAAAAAAGCCCCCCCCCCCTCACCCCAATTAGAAAGTTTGGGGACGCTTTTTACCTGTCACCGTCCCTAAACAATTTGTATTTTGATGTCAAAATTTATTAAAGAAGCAGTCCATATTCTTAACTTTGACGGTGTATAATACAGTAATGCAGCTGCAAATATGCCTACACATATGTACACACACACACACACACACACACACACACACACACATATATATATATATATATATATATATATATATATATATATATATATATATATATATATATATATATATATATATATATATATATAAAAGCCTATATTCATATATCTATCTATCTTCTATCTATCTATAAATATATATAAAGCAATGTATGTGCGTGTGTGTCAGTCAGTTTCTCATTTATGCATTACACTACAACTTTCATCACATCGCCATGAAACTTTGTGAAGTTGTTTAGAATACTCCTCTGGAGTTTTCTGCGGGAAATTTTTTTTCAAATTCGTAGGGGTGGCGCCTACAAAAACATAAGTCAATTGAGGTTTGACACTGTTCATCCGATTGCAATCAAACGGATTAGTAGCAGTGTTTCTTCCAGACTTTTTTCTCCGGGGGGGGGGGGGCACTTGAAATTTTCGGGGGGGGGGGGCGGTAGACTTTCTTTGGGGGGGGGGTGGACACTGTTAAAAGTATATATTTTCTATATAAATTATATAAATTTCATTTCGTTCGGGGGGGGGGGGGCGGTAAAAAAATTTCGGGGGGGGGGGGCTTTGCCCCCCCCCCCCCTCCGAAGAGATGCCTGGAAGAAACTCTGATTAGTGGCATTTAAATTAATTTCGATAGGTAAAATTGCCTTGAGATGCAAGTAATTTGAACTAGACTACGAGCTAAGTTTCTGAGCGAATTAAACTCGTATCCGGAGGTACTTCTGTACACCATAACGATTATAAGAAACGAGCCGACCCGCTGCGTATCATACGCTGCTATTTAGTTGTTTTTTTTTCTACTTTTCAGTAATTTATAATTTGTGAATTCGACAGTACCAATGCTGCCACTGAAAATATTTGCTTAAAAACACTAACCCCCCCCCCCCCCCACGTGAAAGCAGCCTCCTCTTGGTTACCTCCTCTAAGTTTAAAATCGTTTCAAACTAAATTATCTGCCCCTAATAGCCGTCACCAAACCCGTCTCTATGATTGTAAAATGTAAACAGCGTGAGCACAGCTCACCAGACAATGTGGGGGTGGGGTGGGGGGGGGGTGGTAGTGATAGTGATAGAGAGAAAGAGAGGGGACTGCAAGGAGGCGCTTGCAGCTTGTTTTCTAACTGATCCCAGAAGAGAATTATATATATAGATATTAGTTTTGATTTGTCAATATATATCTTAATATGGGACGGCTGCGATTTTGTGGAATATGGGGGTCTAGCCACCCACTTAACACACCCTGCCTACGCCATTGGCTAGAGAGTATTGGTCGTACATATATATTGTAAGCGTGGACATTGTTTATGTTAATTGTTATTTTGTGGGCTGCACAGCATTCCGGCGACAGAGATCTAGGCCAGTACAGCCATAGTGGCCAGATACAGTCGACAGACATTGGCCTCGCTCAAGTCGTTAACAACGAGCTCTAGTTAATGTGATACCCAGGCGAGTAGCTGTTTTGTATTTTCCTATTCGCCCTGTATAATAACTCGGATCCAAATAGCTATCTAAATTCGCAATGAATGAAGAACGAATGTTCGGTTGTTTGTTAGAATTGAGACTATATTTACTATGTAAGACCTACATTTAAAGAAAATTCCAGTAATCAATTACACACGCTATATTAAGTATTAAGCCTATGTTGTAATATTAAACAATGACGTTCGCCTACATCGCATGTTTTTTAAAATTTAATTTACTTAAACGTTTTATCTTAGAAAATATCAGAGTTTCTTCCAGGCATCTCTTCGGGGGGGCGAAGCCCCCCCGAAAAATTTTTACCGCCCCCCAGAACGAAATGAAATTTATATAATTTATATAGAAAATATATACTTTTAACAGTGTCCGCCCCCCCGAAGAAAGTTTACCGCCCCCCCGAAAAATTTTTACCGCCCCCCCCGAACGAAATGAAATTTATATAATTTATATAGAAAATATATACTTTTAACAGTGTCCGCCCCCCCGAAGAAAGTTTACCGCCCCCCCCCGAAAAATTTTTACCGCCCCCCCCGAACGAAATGAAATTTATATAATTTATATAGAAAATATATACTTTTAACAGTGTCCGCCCCCCCGAAGAAAGTTTACCCGCCCCCCCGAAGATTTCAAGTGCCCCCCCGGAGAAAAAAGTCTGGAAGAAACACTGGAAAATATGCCTGTATGTAGCCTACATTGAATTATTTTCCTAGTATGTTGTAAAAATCAATTGTTTACTCAGCTTGTCTAAGATTTTTTCGAAGCCGTAAAATGCCCAGTCAGCTTACTTTAACAATTTACTGTAAGCATTTGCCTACGTCACAATACGTGACTAAAAATTTCCCTCAGTACACGTGGCGTTTTATCTCAGGCAGACAGATGAATGTGAAGGTCACACACATCTCTTGTGTATTGTGTGGCGCTAACAATAAGTAGATCAAGGTACTGGTGTTAGCAGGTCGGATATAGCAGGTCACCCTGTGTGACAATTGTTTTTATCACAACATAAATTACACAACACCTGATCTCCATGTTTACAGCGCATAACAGTTTTTTTTTCTCCTATTCGTTACAAGCTACGGGTCAGATGAAGTAGAGATAATCTGTTTCAATGATCTTGGTGTATGAACGGATAGCTCGCTGCCCAATCGCCGTTGTTTCTCTAGCGTGAGTCAGGTACCCTTCAGAGTTTGGGTGAGTCAGGATCGTCCTTCAGTCCCGAGTCCGAACCGAGATTCGAACTCGAGACCCAGGCTTTAGCAGCTGAATTCTCTACCGTTTGACAGCACTGTCCTATATTTGTATATACCTATCTCTGTGTATCTCTTATCTATAATTCCATTGTCATAAAAAAAATCGTAATTCTGACGTACTCCCACACATAAAACAAGGCTAACGAATCGACTATATTAATCAAAGACTTCCAGGCTAACGCTAAACTCCTGAGTTTGGATTGACTACCTGACTCTAAACACCTGACTGACTGGTCTACTGATTGTGGCTGACCCAGTGTTTCTTCCAGACTTTTTTCTCTAGGGGGTGCACTAGATATTTGGGGGGGGGGGGGGCACTGGTAAAAGTATATATCTTCTATATAAATTCCATTTCGTTCGGGGGGGGGGGGAGGGGGCCGGTAGACTTTCTTCGGGGGAGGGGTGGGGGAAGAGCCCCCCGAAGAGATGCCTGGAAGAAACTCTGGTCTGACCAACCATCTTATTGTCTAGCTACTAATGCGTAAGGTGCATATGTGTCATCGCAAAAGAAATGACGTAGAAAAAACGAGAGAAGCACGGTCAGCACCTCTTGGTCATATCCGAGCTGGTTGATACACAAATTAAATTTTGCAGAACTACAAGATGGCTGGCTGTGAAAACAAATCTCTGAAAGACAAAGTGGGGGACATCATCCACCAAGGCGTGGTGGGATTTTCTCTATCAATGGCTTACGAGTTGGGGATTTTGGAGGTTCTTGTTCTAACGGACACGCCAATGACGTCACAGGAAGTTGCGGATGCAAAGCAACTGAAAGAGAGGTAGGTTTGGCTACAGAAAGAAAATATTCACACTCAAAAAAAAATCCTCACGTTTGTTCTTCAGTAGATATTCACTAATAGGCACATTCTAATACCTATTCCGAAATTAGAAACATATTTTTAAAAATCGATGTATCGAGTAATGAAATAGTGTTTTTATACTATAGTATAATCCTCGTTATTATGTTAAATGGTGTTGAATGGGTATTATCAGTGACGTCACTAGGTCAGGTTACACCCGGTGCGGTGTCCGAGGGTGCCACCCCTACCACCAACGATTAAATGTATGATAGACTAAAATTAGAGGCAATTTGGTGTCGTATTTTGTTTTGGTGTCATCCCGTTGAAAGGTGTCACTAGGCAGTAGCGTAGCGAGGGGGGGGGGGGGGGGCGGGGGGGGGACATATGTCCCCGGGCGCCGAGCTTAGGGGGCGCCAAAATGGGTTGGAAAAGTAGATTGAAAGTTTGAGGGGGGGGGGGTGCAAATGAAAATCTCGAGGGGGGGATGCAAATCGAAAGTTTGAGGGGGGTGTGCAAATCAAAATCTCGAGGGGGGTGCAAATCGAAAAGTTTGTCCCCGGGCGCCGGGAAGGGTCGCTACGCCTCTGTCACTAGGTACAGTCTACGCCCCCACACCTCATTGTAACGCCTCTGTGTATAATATCACTTACGTGTCGTGACACACCCATGCAAGATCTTCCATTATTATCGAACATACGTGCTTGATTTCTAATTTTAAAAAATGATGCTTATTGAAAGTAAAAGCATAAAAGGCGCCCCCCTCACTTTCTGGTGTAGTGACTAAGGATACAATAGCCTTGACAATGGCTGAATATTAAAAACAATTGTATGTTGTTGGCAGGTATGTGAGAGAACTCCTGAAGAGCCTGTCGTGTGCGAACATTGTCGAGGTGGAGCGGGTTGGCGATGTTTACTACTACACCATTGATAAGGAGAAGGGTTCCATTTTTATTGGCGACAGCATGCCGTATCTTGGTTTCCTAGCGTCCCTCTCTGTACGATATGAGCCAATGATGAAGTGTATAAAGAAAGACGGGCCATACGGTATAGCTTTACTAATATGTACTTCATGTGCAGTCTAATGAACTTTTTTTTTATTACTGTCTTAGTTAATGTGCTATTTTATTGTTTTTCTATCTTTGTATAAGGGGTCATCCATAATTGACGTCACGCTTTTTTGACGATTTTTACCTCCCCCCCCCCTCCGTCACACGTCGTCACAAAAAGCATGACCCCATCCCCCTAAAATGACGTCACACCTCAACCTACAACCATCCTCAAAATTGCAGTTGAATTTTTTTAAAACATCGATATTTTTCTAAAATCTTGTCTAAACTATTGCAATTTATTAAAACAGTTATCTAAAACGCGAAACAACGTCTAAAATTCGTTTTCTAACATAGCTTTTTTATAATGCAAAAATGTGACGTCGCAACATCTGAACCCCCTCCCCCCTCCCTCCCCCCTACGAGTGTGACGTCATTTATGGATGACCCCTAAAAAGTGATTTAGTTTAGTTTGAAATTTTTGTCTTTATACTTTATAGTTGTTGCCGTCTTAGACATGGGACGGGTGGCAGAGCGCTCATCAGCTATCCGAAAGTCTCTTGTTCGGATCTTGGACTCGTTTCTGTAGGATGTCCATGAGCACCCAGCTCTGATGGGTACCTGACTTACATTAGAGAGTGTAAAGCGGCTGGTCATACTGCTGACCTCATTATCCCTTTATATGCAGTGATCAAGCAACATTCATAAACTTTACTTCATTTACTTTCTTGACACGTCGCTTTGTACCTATATATTAAACCACCGTCTCGAGGTTTCATGCGCATCTAGTACATTAGACCCTCCCCTGCCATTACCCCATTGTATAACACCCCTCTTGAACATACTTATTAAAGTGAAATAAAAAATAAGGTCTGACAGAATAAGCATTATATTTTCTCTACTTATTCTATAGATAACGAAATAGGGTGGCTGAAAAAGTGCCGAGTAAGCATATTCACTCCAGACCCCAAAGCCTAAATCTTAATCTAAACCCAACCATAGCACTGGCGCCATCGCTAGTCCTAATCCTAACATTACCTTTTGGTTACATCCAATGTTAAGTTTAGGGAGCACCCCCCCCCCCGAAATAGAATTTGTATAAAATATATAAAAAAATACTTCAACTGGGGGGGGGGTAATGTCAATGGGGGAAATGACCTGTGTCCTGCTCCCGTTTTATTTTCTTTATAGTATTTAATTGAGTACACTTAGCCAGTCAGTTGGTGACACTAATTTGTCTAACCTAAGTCAAATATTCTCTTCCTTTGCTTTCTTTTCAAACAAATTTCACAAATTGAATAATACATCGACAGGAAAACATACCAGGCCTCGAGATTTGTTTCAAACCAACCCTTTTCGAATAATTTTTATAACATGACCTTGTCGGCTTAAGGCCCTAGCTATTAAAAAACAACATAAGTTAAATCTGGCACTTTCAGGGTTGCCGTACAACGAGACACTGACCTCAATGATGACCGTGAACCAGGTCAGCTCGGCTCGGTCAAGTATAGAGATCAGCATCATGCTGGACAACGTCCCGGGGCTGAAGGAGAAGCTGGGTGAATCGTCATTTTAGCTCATTCACTCGCCTTCTCATTCACTTAATCACTCACTCACTCATTCACTCACCCACTCATTCACTCATTCAATCACCTGCTCGTTCACTCACCCACTCATTCACTCACCCACTCATTCACTCACCCTCTCATTTAATCACCTACTCACCCACTCATTCACTCACCCACTCATTCATTCACTCACCTTCTCATTCACTTAACCGCTCATCAACTCATTCACTCACTCATTCACTCACCCACCCACTCATTCACTCACCCACTCATTCACTCACTCACCCACCCACTCATTCATTCACTCACCCACCCACTCATTCATTCACTCACCCACTCACTCATTCACTCACCTACTCATTCACTCACTCACCCACCCACTCACTCATTCACTCATTCATTCATTCACTCACCCACGCACTCATTCACTCACCCACTCATTCACTCACCTTCTCACCCACTTATTCACTCACCTACTCATTCACTCACCCACTCATTCACTCACCTACTCACCCACTCATTCACTCAGCTACTCATTCACTCACCCACCCATTCACTCACCTACTCACCCACCCATTCACTCACCTACTCACCCACTCACTCATTCACTCATTCATTCATTCACTCACCCACTCACTCATTCACTCACCCACTCATTCACTCACCTTCTCACCCACTTATTCACTCACCCACTCATTCACTCACCTACTCATTCACTCACTCGCCCACTCATTCACTCACCTACTCACCCACTCATTCACTCAGCTACTCATTCACTCACCCACTCATTCACTCACCCACCCATTCACTCACCTACTCACCCACCCATTCACTCACACACCCATTCACTGACCTACTCACCCACTCATTCACTCACCCACCCATTCACTCACACACCCATTCACTCACCTACTCACACACCCATTCACTCACCTACTCACCCACTCATTCAATCACCCACCCATTCACTGATCTACTCACCCATTCACTCACCCACCCATTCACTTACCTACTCACCTGCTCATTCACTCACCCACTCATTCACTCACCCACTCATTCAATCACTCACTCATTCAATCACCTGTTCATTCACTCTATAGAGAAAACAAAATTGTTTGCTCTCTACTACCCTCTAGTATTAAAGACATTTTTTTTTACCGGATCCCTACCCCCTTCATCAAACTAAGTCTGGAAATTATCTTTAGTGCAAGTTTAAACCTCTATATACAGGCCTAAGCATTTTTGCACGGTTCTCCTTTACAGTAATTTTACAGTAAAAATGCTGTAACTAATCATGGCCGTAAACTTTCTGCATACAAATCATATCCAGTGCTGTGTCGAATGATGCACGAAACTGTCACTAATACGACCTACTTTTGCTTCATCTCATAGCTGTAAGAAGAACTAATATTCGTCAGTAAAAAGACCATCAAACGATGAAAAACATACCAAATCGTAGTCATTTGTGTAGATGTACAGACGATAATCCTAATGACTTGTGTAGATATACAGACGATAACCCACATGAATGGTGTAGTTGAAATGTACAGACGATAATCCACGGGACTAGATTTTCAGCCGATAATACTGGTGACTGGTGCAGATGTACAGACGGTAATCCACGTGACTAGATTTTCAGCCCTTGTGGCTGGTGTAGATGTACAGTTAATAATCCCAGTGACGAGTGTTACAAAAATTGTTTCTTAATAATAAAACAAATAGCCTATAAACACCTCTACAGTTAAAGCTTTTAAATGTTTTTTTTTAAAGGAAAGACTTTCTTGAAATTTGGCCCAAACAACAAAACCACGACAAGCATGGCGTGGCCATTGCCATGTATATGATTAGGACTAGGACATAAACGAAACAATGTCTTGATGCTCATACTGATCTTCTGCTTGTTAATAAACACTACGTGAAAGCCGAAATTGTTAACCTCCTATAAAGCTAATCATACTGCTGTAGTATGCCTGACAATTTTAACAAAATCATTTGAAATCAAGCGAATTTTTTTATATTTTTAATTTTTTTTTTTAGAGACGGGCATCAACGTGATTGAGCTAGGCAGTGGAATGGGTTCGTTGATCTCGAGGATGGCACAACTGTTCCCTGCAAGCAATTTTACTGGTAATTTAAAATTCGCGTCTTTTTTTTTTTTTTTTAGCTCAAAACAAAAGATGAATTATGGCGCAGGTAACTGACGTTGAAATTTTTTTTAAGGTTCAGGAATTTGGTTTTTTTTTGGATATCGCTAGGGGTCATCCATAAATGATGTCACACTCGTAGGGGGGAGGGGGGGGGGGTCCGTAATTTTGTGACGATGTGTGATGAGGGGGAGGGGGGGGGGGGTTCAGATGTTGCGACGTCACATTTTTGCATTATAAAAAGCAATGTTAGAAAACGAATTTTAGACGTTATTTCGCGTTTTAGATAACTGTTTTAATAAATTGTAATAGTTTAGACAAGATTTCGGAAAAATATCGATGTTTAAAAGAAATTCAACTGCAATTTTGAGGGGGGGTTGTAGGTTGAGGTGTGACGTCATTTTAGTGGGGGGGGGGTCTGGCTTTTTGTGACGACGTGTGACGGAGGGGAGGGGGGAGGTAAAAATTGTCCAAAAAAGCGTGACGTCATTTATGGATGACCCCCTTATCACATACAATTCTTTTAGAATTATTTACACAACTGAAACTCCACCAACACTTTCTTAAGAGTTTTTCATAACCAAGTGAAAAAAAAGCTGGAATATATTTAAGAAAAAGTTTACTTCTTATTTCATTTTAAAAAATAATAACAATGAAGTTATTTTTTTCCCCAGCGTCTGAGTATTCCTCTTTAAATCTGGAAAAGGGGAGAGAAGCCCTGTCATCTTTAAACCTAACAAATTTAACGATGATCCAACTTGACGCCTTAAACATCCCAGAAGACATGTATGGGAAATACGATTTTGCGATGACCAATGACGTCATCCATGATCTACCCGACCCCCAGCGAGGTCTGGAACAAATCCGCCGGTTGCTCCGCCCCGGATGTTATTACGCAATGATTGAAATAGGCCTGGAAGATGACGTCATACAAAACATAAAGACGCCCGGAGCTGACATGGTCTATACCATCAGCGCCTTCCACTGTGTCCCCCAGGCTTACCAGGATTCGAACTCTGTCGCTTTGGGTGCTGGCTGGGGGAAGGGTACAGCCATTCGCTATTCGGAAAATGCTGGGTACAAAGTTGTGAGCCAGCACCAGCACTTAGATATATTTGTCGTGTTTGTCTTGCAAGTTATTTAAAAACTAATATTATAATGAGTTTGCTCATCAGGATTTAAAGGTCATCTATGATGAAAACGTTGTTTTCTCTTTTAAAAAAAATCTTTCCACCCTCTTGGTTCACTAAAAGTTAGACCCCCTACATCGGTATTAGCTCCCCCCCCCCCTCCTCAACATATTAACATTTTTTAAACATACATTTCTTTGACATTCTTTGCAGATCCTGTCAAAATTACTTGCATTTGTCAACTTAAAAAAAAATTAGAATTTACATAAGAATGAGATAACTGCTAAAATTCGGTCTAGAAAGCACTATTTGAAAATGCAAGAACTAAAATTACCTGCACCCTTTGTACCTAGTCCCAAAAGTCCCAATCTCTCAAGTGTGACGTCATTTATGCGCGACCTCTAAGGGATCATCCATAAATGACGTCACGCTTTTTGGACGATTTTTACCTCCCCCCCCCCTCCCCTCCGTCACATATCGTCACAAAAAAGCCAGACCCCCCGCCCCCTAAAATGACGTAACACCTCGGCCTACAACCCCCTCAAAATTGCAGTTTAATTTTTCTTAAAACATCGAAATTTTTTCCAAAATTTAGTCTGAACTCTCTCAACATAGAGTATTTTAATCAATTTCTATCACAATTTATTAAAACAGTTTTCTAAATCGCGAAATAACTGCTAAAATTGGTTTTCTAACATTACTCATCACACACCGTCACAAAATTACGGACCCCCTCCCCCCTACGAGTGTGCCGTCATTTATACGCGACCTCTAAGATGTAGCTGTCACGAAACATGCAACGAAATACACTAATGTGTCGGTATTCAGTAGAGGAACAAGTCGGTGGTGAGCAGACGGTTTCGGGAGAAGGTTGGGGGGGGGGGGGGGGTTTAGGGGGTGACACCAATAAAACTTACAGCCACGCCGTTTTAACTTTTATTCCGTTAATATAATGAAATAGTATGGTAGAGGGGTAACACCGAATCGAGAATGCAAAATTTTTGGAGTGGGTGGGGGTAACACCCTCTGTTACTACACCGGGTGACACCCGACCTAGTGACGCCACACTATCAGTTCATTTTGTGTCCTAAAGTATGACTAACTTCAGTAACCAGATCAATATTTAAGACGCCATGTTTGCTTACATTATGTAGAAACAATAGGGCAGCTGAAACAAAATAGCTGACTAGCCACCAAGACATGATTCAGGACAGCGCTTGAGGTTTGGTTTCGGTAAGTGAAAAAAATGACGTTGGCATTAAGCAAACGGCACGAAAAGTCTATCTAATCATACACAATTTAAAAATTCTTATAAAAAATATGGAAAACGATATTATAGTTACATTTGTAAAAATTAAAGCCGTTGAATATACACTTTTTGAAGAACAAAAAATAAAAATTAAACTTCAGTAGCCTGTTGTTATTCTTTGAATTTCATGTAATTATATCTCGTTATTAGCACATCGTCACAATGAGCCAGATCCTCTCAAAATTGTAGTTTATTATTATTTTTACAAAATATTTTTTTTTTCTAAAATATTGACTTATAGGCCTAGTATATTAATCAATTTCTATTCCAAATTCAATTTTCTAAAACTCAAAACAGCAACTAAAATTCTAACATCGCTTTAAAAAAAAAAAAAGTGTGACGTCACACTATATGAACCCCCTCCCTCTTATTACACATCGTCACAAAATTACGACCCCTACGAGTATGACTTCATTTATGGACCCCCCCCCCCCTTTAAATTTCGGGAAAGATGTTTGACATGGTTTAAAGTTTATAAGTTAGAGTACCCACTGAAGCAGGGTGGACTCTGGGAAATACTTGGACTTTAGGAGCTGAACTTGAATTTTGAGTACCATTCAATAGAGTAAATAAAATTACTTCTAAAACGAAAAGTTCAAAGAAATTAAAAAAAAAACAATTTTTTCTTTTCTAATTAGTTATGAAAAAGAAGAGGTATGGTGTACGAAAAAAAGCCAATTAAAAAAACGAGGACCCAAATTGTTTTAAAAATGTATTTTGCAACATGTGTTGTTCAACAACATTTAATGTTTCGATTTGACTAAGTTTAATAATCTAATTACAGGCTGGTAACATCCAGTTATATGTTTACAAAACTAAAACAATTTTCTTTTTAACATTGGTAAAGCTATTTTTTTTTACAGTGCAGTTATTATTGGCTCAGAGAATAACAGAATCATAATATAAATAATCAGCATAAAAGTTTGCTTATTACATGAAACTGTTTTACAACACCAACTAAATTATTTTTACAAATAAATATATCATAGCAACAGTGCATAATTTTGAAAAAATTAGAAAAAAAATTAACCATGAAAAAAAATTCCAAAGAAAAAAATAATAGCTTACTAATTAGGCCTTTGTACAGAATTTTTAAAAAATTAATGAAAAGAACAAGAAATAGGCCTAAATCTTTTAGCTAACACTATCTAAACTTTCAGTGTTTGATGTGTAGTTATAGTTCCTTCCCATAGCAAAAATGTATAATAATGACTTGACAGTATCTTCAGGCATGGTTACCCCAGGTAACTGCCTCAGGAATTTAATTACATCTGGTGCACATGGTCAATTTAGTTAATAAACAACCTTCCCATTGTTATCCATAATCGTCTTTAGATTATTTTCCTTTAAAAAAAAAGAATGGTCCCGTGGTTAACAAGCTCCAGTTACTTCATGCTTTTAATCTGGAAGAAGTTATTTTAAGTTGTTTTAGTCCAAAAATTGCGTCAAACTCTTCTAGCAATTTAATGTTGTATCACCAGATTCTGCTCTTTCTAAATAACCAAAATTCTAATAAAAGCAAATATTAACATCATATTTATTTTTAAGGAATCCAGATGTGGCATAATGTCACTAGAGTCAAAACCAATTCTACCCTAATGGCATTATGGATGACACTTGAATAACAGTTGGCCTAATGGTTTGTTAAATCCTAGGGGAAAGATTTTCAAAATTAATTTTGAAAATTAATTTTAAAAGTTTATATTGCAATTGTTTTAAAAGATTCAAATATTAGTAAATAAAACCGCAAGCAATAAAAGAAAACCTAGACATTTTCAGTTTATACAATTGGTATAAATATGTAATGCTTTGCAATAATACTGGTCAATTAAAAAAAATGTTACTTAGGCAAGTAATACTTTAAGCATAAAATCTTTCGATGTTTTAAAACGTTTTTACAAATCTTTGAAAACTCTCATATTTTCAAAATAGTATACTAGCTTAACTAATATATAAGTCTGTAAATGATTTTATAATTGATAAAAAGTGGTTGAATAAATCAAACTAATTACATGCTTACAAATTAAGTTGCTGAATTTAATTTGAAAATTATAGAAAATTACCTTAATTATGTAAAAAGTATTTCCTTTTTCTTTTAAAGTTTTTTTTATAAATAAAGCTGTTACAATAAACAGTAAAAAATATTATTGGCTTAAACAGCGTTATGTGGAAGCAAAATAACATTCACAGTAATAAATAAAATATAATTTGTCAATTAGACATGATCATGTACCTTTTGGCAGCAAAAAGTCAATAAAAGTTTGAAAGTAAAAAAATGGAAAAAGGCAAATTTATAAAATCCAAAATGCGCTTTAAAAAAAAAGAATTTCAATTAATAGCATCAAACAAGATATTGAGTTTAGATTAATAGGCTATATCCAAATACAACTCTTAGATCCAGATGAAAGTTTTTGTATAACTCCCACTAAGTTCCCCATTATTTGTTTATGGCTGTTAGTCCACTTAAAAATAATTGAGTAATAGTTCTTTTATTAATATAATGTGGAGGAGAAACTTAACTGCTTCTATTTATATGTTCATTATATACATAAAATAAACAAGGAAAAAATGAAATATTTTTACTTCAGCCATCATTTCTTAAGTAAACATCCGTGTGCATCTGCTGTGTGATAGCTGAGGTTTGATACTTCAAGACAAAAATAATTTCTCTAGAAATAAAACATTTAAAAAAAAGTTTAGTTACAAATTCTCATAATGCTGCTGCAATATAACAGTCCAAGTCATTGCTTATCTCAGCAGAATACTATAAATAAACACATTTTAAAATTTAGCAAAAGGGCAACAACAGGTGGATATCTAAACAATATTTGTTCCATTATTTCCGAGCAGTTTGATATAAACTTTAGTAAACACATCAGAGCTTAATTAAATATTTTTGGTTTATGGAAGAGCTTCTTATAAACAAGATTATTATTTTTACACACTCTGAATAGGAGTGACATTTCTATGACATGATACTATGAAGATAAATGCTGGTAAACACATTGTACCACCCCTTCAATTTTAATAGGCTTATACAATAAATTACATCTTATAGTGAAATGTGATACACAACTTTTCTAACAATATTTTCAGTTCATTACCATTGTTTCAAAAAAAATCTTAAGGATAGGAGATTTTTTTAGACTTATACAAAAAAAATTGATTAAATAACATCTGCAGGACAGTTTAAGAATTGAAATGGCTATTGGGTGCAATGATTTCATCTGTCCTCTGTGTCCATTCTCCCTTCCCTGCAGCCTGTCGCCTGTAGTCTGGTTTAATGACAGCTGGCGACAGTAAAATATGTTTGTTAGCATTCATTTGTTGCATGAGGTCTGAATTAATGTATTAATTCCTTTTACCTGGTGGCTTAATTAAACACACTTACACTCAAGGACTTTTAAATAATACAGGTCATTAGCACATCACATTATTTTGCAAAGTCTACCTGAACTGATATTTTTACACTCAAATTGAATAATTAAAAAAAAAATTTTTTAAACTTTCTTCTAAAACTTTTCTTTTTTTGTGTCAAAAAATCTAAACTTATGTTAAATCTGCTTAAAAAGAAAAAGTGTCTTTTAATAAAATCATCAACCAATAAAAACTAATTTTTTTCCATATTAGATTCTTTAATTTCAACACTGTAGTGCTTTTTATCCCCACAACTCTAATGACTAAAAAACAATTGCATCAGATTTCAACTCTATGTGACTGCAGTAATATAATATCTTGTAAAAGATTTTGACTATTTATACCAAGATAAAGAGCAACAAAAAATCATAACTATAAGCACATTTTTAAAAGACTAAAAAGCAAATTGATTAATATTAGCAATATCTGACCAGTTATCACAGTTCCGAGTAGTAAAAGAGCACACATTGTGATGTTAGCACTGAACACATTTATAGATTCCAACATGGCTCGCATTCCAAGCGTCAGGATGATACCAAAAATCTAGAAACAGAAAATAATAATCCATAAATATCACAATAACTGTCTTATAAATATTAATTTACTTTGTTGTGTTAGGAATGTTGATTCTTAGTTATTTCCAACAATTAAAAAGAATGGACCTAGTTAATTGTTTATGTGCTTACTAGGATTTATTGTATAAACAAATACATATGGCCTATAGAACATTAAATCAAGAACCAAAATTTTACTATAAATAAATAACATTCAAAGTATAAATATAACCATTTTATTCGACTTTGCAACTAATTGGTTGTAAATAATTAATACCTGAGCAGATGCATTCAGCAAACCAGATGATGTCCCTTCTGATTCAGGGAAAGTTAACTCTGCTGCAAATTCAAATCCTACTGGTAAATAGCCTGTCATAAAAAATCTGTAAGGAAAGTAATATGATATTCATCACTCTGTTGTACTGCATCAATATTAAAGTAACATATGGAATGATATATTTTATAGCTTTTAGTCTACTTACCCCAATGCTCCAGCAGTTATAAAAACTATCCAGATAGCCTCTACGTCAAGAGTAAATGTAAATGCAACTGTACCAGCCAAAGATAAAATGTATATTCCAATGGTTGTAGCCCTTAAAATTTTTAGAGTAAATTTTAATTAAATGTTATATAGCCTAATAATAGTTTTGACTGAAATATTTCTGATCATTAGGCCCTATAATAATTATTTGCATGTAAATGTTACTGGTACAAAAATAGAATTATTTGAAACCAAAAATAATCATTACAATTCATCTATTTTCACAATGTATTTGTTTCATATTATTAAATACAAATGTATTTTACACTAACTTGAAAGTTTTAGTTTTGTCCAGCCAAATTCCAGCAATAATAGCACCCAGTACTCCCATCAATATGATGGTCAGACCAATTCTTCCTGCATTCTCTTCTTCATCCTGTAATGAAGACAAATAATAATTGAAAGGTCATAGGGCATCTAGAGAAGGAGAGTAACTTATAAGTTTTTCTCTCCTAAAGTTTCACTTACCTTAAAATAATACAGCACAATGGCATTTAAGAGAGTTGAAATAGCATAAAATGAACCTGTGTTGATACCTGCAAGAAGTTAAAAGAAAAAGTTAGTGTTTCTCCTAAAAAAATTTAAATGTGTTTCTTATCGTAAGAATTTCACTTTAAATCATATTCTCAAAATTTAAAGAAGAGGATTCATAAGTTACAATTTGAAAGCAATTGATCCTTGACTCACCATAGGCTATCATGAGAACAATAAATCCTCTGTTTCGTAACAGCCTAGAAAGAGATTTGAAATAATCTTCATGTGTAGCTGCCTCTACTGCCAACTGTTGGGCTCTACTGGGTGGTTGGGGAGGCTTGTCACGTAAAACTGGGGATTCAAAGTTTGCAAGATAGGAAGATAATAACATAACATATCCAACTCTAAGATAACTACTAAATAAAAATTAAACACTCAAAATTAACTCTTAAGAGATTTGACTTTTTACATTGTGATAACATTCTGACCGTTTCTTTGTAAATGAATAGTTATAATTAAAAACAACTCAATCATTTAAGTTGTTTTTCTTTTCAGCCTAACTTCTTTTCAGATTGTACACTGCTAACTTTTGGTTTATGTTGATAATTAGCCTAAATTAATTACTACATTTTACATTTGCGCATTATCATAGTTAGGCTGTGGTGGTTGGGGTGGTCAGCATCTAACCAGAATGTCCGTGATTTGATCTAATAATGGGGAATTTGATAAAACTCTAGAATCTAAAGGGATTTTGTTGCCAATACAATTATTTCCCAGACCTGTTTTAGGTACCCATCAGGGATAGATCAACCCAGTAATATACTCAGACACAGAACTTGTAGGATATCCAGCATTAACATTGCACTTTTAAAAAAAATATTTTTAAAAATTCTTACATTAAACAGTAAGAAACTTTTCAATCATAACAGATAAGAATGAATGTCTTATAGATAACAAATAAAAATGAAAGTCTTGCAACAAATAAGAATGAAAGTCTCATAGATAACAAATAAGAATGAAAATCTTACAAATTATAATAAGAAGGAAAATCTCAACAAATTACAAAAAAGAAGGGAAGACTTATGGATAATAAAAATCTTACATATAAGAACAAGAATGAAGATTTTACAGATAACAAATAAGAATGAAAGTCTTACAGATAATAAAAATCTTACAGATGACAATAAGAATGCAAATCTTATAGATAACAAATAAGAATGAAAGTCTTACAGATAATAAAATCTTACAGATAACAATAAGAATGAATATAACACTTGTGACAGCAGCGCCAATGTAGAACATGCAGTAAAAATCTGATGCCATTGTGTCTCTGTCTTTAGAGTTGGGGACAAGCATTGGGGGGATCAAAAACCCTACAGCAATCCCAACCTAAAGGAATGAAAACAGTTTTATATTACAGCTCACATGAACTGAGGATAAAATTGCTACACAAAACATTATGGTATATAAAACATTCACTATTGGATAAAACTAATGATTAACAACAGTTTGAGGTGGAAAAAAGACGAAAAAAAAAAATGACAATCATAGTATGTCAGAAAAGAATATATTCTTTGGTTGGGAAGAAATGTTTGAAAATATGCATCTACCAGATGGCCACAGGATCAATGCTATTGATTGGGTTTTTGTTTGTTTCGTTGGAAAAACTTTTGCATGCTTGGAGTTTCAACGAGAAAAATGTATGCAATGTGTTTCAATGAGCAAAAAATATACACTGAACTGAATGTACTAAGATGTGTTAAAATTGGCAGATATTAACCAAATGGGTCCCATTGAACATAAATACAACAATGTGCTACAATGAATGAAAAACATTCATTACAATGTGTTACAATGAGCAGAAAGTACATATCAAAATGTGGTACATCGAGCAAAGACTTACCTGATTACCAAATACCCCCAAAGAGGTTGCCGTAGAGACTTCGTTAGGACCAAACCAGACGGCTGCCAGACGTGCAGGTATTCCCAGCACCCATATCTGTGAGATGGCACAGATTGTTTGAGCGATCATCAACAGCCAAAACCTATGTGAAAGAAACATTTACAATTAAATATAACCTCATTAAAAAAAATCCAAATTATTTAATGTGGATATTTGCTATACAAACTTAAAAGAAAAAATATTGGTCTTTTAATTTATTTTTTGTTTTTAAATATTTAAGCCAAAGGTTTAAATATTGGTTTCAATTTTAAAAATAGGTAATACTTTGATAAACAACACCAATCACTAAAATTACAAGCCTATATAAAAATACATCACTTAGATATTTGTAATTCTAGGAGTGTCAACGAATCTTTCAAGCAAAAATTACTTGTTTGAGCATCAACATCATGTTGGTCTAAATCCAATTATGGGGCGCTGGCAAAATTTGTTCATGGGACATCGGTCAGACCCACCCCCTTGACCACCAGTGCAAGCTTTTAAAATTCTCCGGACTTGTAAGCTAACAGAGGACAAAGAGATACTGACCTGTCTGACGACACACTGGCACACTTGAGCCAGGCACCCAAAGCATTGAGAAGCGATCCCAGAATGCAGGAGAGCCTTAACCCTTTCTTGTCCAGGATCCAAGTGGCTGGCAGGATGAGGATGATGTAAGCCAGCATGTAGATCATGGACAGCCAATCAATGGCTGTGTTGCGCTGCCGAATTTTTATACATATTTTACTAAAACATGTTTAAATTGATCTCAGTGCAAAATATAGTGATTAGGTTAAGTTGTGAGTACACAAACACTAGTGAAGTTGAGTGAAGCTCTCATCTTTATAAATATAAGCTAATACACTAAGACATGGTAATTTAGGCCTTGGGTATCAGCATTAGGCGAGTATGTACTTTGAGGACCATGAACAAATATAAACGTGTAGCTGATGGTACGCGGCAAGCAGAAAGGTAAATGTGCTGGTGTTTATTTTATATGATTGATATGGGCCATAAGGCTCTTGGTGCTCCAGGATTAGTGCCAATCAGGCTAACTCACTGGAATGGCAATACTTTAATGCTGCCACATTTAATGACGGCCATGTTTCAGTGTGGCAATATTTTATGGAGGCCATGTTTTACTGTGGCCACACTTGATGACAGCCATGAATTAATGACGGCCATGTTTCAATGCGGCAATATTTTATGGAGGCCATGTTTTACTGTGGCCACACTTGATGACGGCCATGAGTTACTGTGGCCATGATTTGTGACGGTCATGCTTTAATGCGGCAATGCTTTAATTCCGCGCGGCCACAGTTACTGACGTCTATGATTCAGTGTGGCAACATTTTATGACGGCCATGCTTTATTACTGCTATGATTTATTACTACCATGCTTTAATACGGCCATATTTTAGTGCAGCCGCGCTCTAATGCGGCCGAACTTGATGGCGGCCATGAGGCAACATTTTATGAAGGCCATACTTTATTGCGGCACTGATTTATGACTGCCATGTTTTAATGCAGCCATACTTTAATGCAGCGCGGCCATATTTAGGCTACTGACGGCCATGCTCTAATGTGGCCACTAAATTAAGCTCGCCGGCAAAATGTTTCAGCAATGGCGGCATGTCATTATATCAAAGTGCCTCTCGACAGGCTAAATTAATTTACATAGTTGCAACCAGTATCAAGTGTGGTCTAGCCTAGTTCATGTGTACTTTGTGTTTAAACAGCGTTGAATTGCAACTACTCGGGATCTAAGTCAAACTATTGGTTTATTGGGTGCAATTTCATGTTGACCTCCCATAGCTGGTGTCAAGCCAATCTTATTTGCCTCATCGTTTTGTAACGTCTTCCGATTGCAGTCAACATTAAGTTTTGAAGTTGTAGTGGGCAGTGGCGTAGCGAGGTCGGGTGTCACCCGGTGCGGCACTTAATGGTGTCACCCCCCAGAGGCGTAGCGACCCTTCCCGGGGACAAATTTTCGATTTGCACCCCCCTCCCCCCTCAAGTTTTCGATTTGCACCCCCCCTCAAGTTTTCGATTTGCACCCCCCCCCCTCAAGTTTTTCTCTATATATTTTGCTATTTTTTGCCTTGGTGTCACCCCCCTAAATGGTGTCACCCGGTGAGGTCCGCACCCCCCGCCCCCCCCCCTCGCTACGCCCCTGTAGTGGGTATGACTATTCAACATGTGTCACCTTTTGTTATGGGCACAGTTGGATAAGTCAAACGCAAGCCTCATCATTGTTCCGAAATACATCACTAAGCGAAGGACGTTGTATAACCGATGAAGAACAGCAGCATATATTTGCATGTATAATTGACACCAGCTTGTTTGAAATGACTCAATCAATGGCCTAGCTGTACTTTTGTGTCAAAAATTGACATATTTTAACATACGAACAAAAACACAATTGACTTATTTTAACATATGAAATACCTGTTGGTTTTTTTTTATTCTAATCTCAAGTTGTATCAAAATAATAAAAAAATAATTTAAAAAACCCTAATTAACATAAAAACAATTAAGTGGTATGCAACTCAGGCCATTCCAAATTTGACAACAACCCAAGCGTGGTAGCCTTCAGAGCTATAGATTGCTGTTGGCGGTTGAAAACAGTGTTTCTTTCAGCCTTTATCTCCGATGGGGGGGGGGGGGCGTACACTGTTAAAAGTATATATTTTTCTATTTAAACTCCGTTTCGTTCCGGGGGCGGGGGGAGGGGCGGTAGACTTCCTACGCGGATTGTCCCCCTCCCCCCCCCCCCTCCCGGAAGAGATGCCTGGAAGAAACTCTGGTTGAAACCGACGTACCTGATATTCGTTAGCTGGTAAACTTTCGTTGTAGAAGCCCGCCAACACGTTGGTGATGATGTTGAGGTGGATCCACTGGAAGGCATTGCTGAAGGAGTAGAGGCAGAAGAGACACAGCATCACCCAGCGCTGCCAGTACACCTGCGGAGTGCTGTCGTCTGCTGCCTTCACGCTGCCGCGCAGGAGGTCCACCTGGTTCTCAAGTTCTCCATTTTCTGGGGATTTCTTTTTCGATCCTAGCTGACCTGAAATCACAGTAGATGCGTGGAGGTTTAAAAGTTGTGATAGTGTTTGTTAAAAAAAAAACCATTAGCTTATGTTTAAACAATCCTAACAAATAAACATAGGACTTCCGTGCAAAACGTGTATACATAAAGACAAAAAAAAAACCACCAAACAAGTATCAATATATAAATGAATGAAGTTTGTTTAAAAATATATTAAAAACGTAAAATCAGACGTTAGGTTAAACAATAAAATTTTATGCATCACCCTGTTAGATCTACACGGGAATCCGTAACACAATTTGTAATACAAATTTATTAAATAAAACAAAACTAGATTGTATTTTACAGACGGAATCAGAAATGAGAATTTTTGGCCTGAGGCGACAACACGTGTACATTAAAAAAAATATCTATATCTAAATAGATAATGGAAAGATGTATTTATTAGTTTGTCATAATTTTTCGCTTGGCATAAGAATGAACCCTCTCCCGTTCTTTGCTGTTTCAAAAATCTTGCTATAAATTTAGACACGGGTTGGCTGGAAGAACCTGAAGGGAATTCTCTCTCTCTCCCCCCCCCCCCCCACCTCTCTCTGTCAATAAGGGTAAATCGTCGCATCCGGTGGGTTTAATGACCGGATGAAACAATCAGCGATACATTAACGGCTTTGGTCAAGTCTTCTGACAACTACTTTAGATTTTTCTGATTCGTATAAAGCAGTCGCTATTAGTAACGGCTTAATCAGAACACAAAAAACACCCCACAGCAGCATAGGACCCTTCCACCGACACCATTGTAGATCTAACAGTGCACGGTTGGGTTTTAATGGACGACCACCACGAACTTGACCACCATCCGACTACCACCTCCACAAACAAAACAGCCCACAAACTAAACTACCCACACAACCACCCACAAACTAAACTTCCCACACAACCACCAACAAACTAAACTACTAAAGACTACGAAGTTTTTAAGAAATATACACAGAATGTTTTGTTTTAATGTGGCATCTACGTTTTTTAATAATAAAAAAAAATACTGCATAATTTTGTGTCCCCACCTTTCACACCCTCCCCGTATTTTGTGTATTTTGTAAAGCACTTGGCTTTTTATCTGTTATTTATCACGGAACATAGTGGAAGTATTGTAAACATGCAAAATGAAATCGAAATCGATTTTGATAAATCTTAACGTTTTACACCTTGCTAAAAAGAAAACAAAAATGTTTTGCAATTTTATTTATGTGTGTGTGTGTGTGAACACGACAACTTACGAACCGTTTGTTATGTTGACTAAATTGTATTTATAATTTTTATATCAAATTTGTAGTTGTGTGTCAGCTTTTGAGCGATTTCCGGAAACCCGGAAACATCGATAACTTGAGCACCTTTTCAGCTTGGTTAGTCTCATTTTGAATAACAGTATGACATTGTAAATGCGCATGTTTTAAAAGAATGCTGGTAACCGGAAATCGTCCTTTCTTACCATGGAGACACGATAACTTGAGTAATATTTGAGTTGGATAGACGAAGTTTCACATACAAGTATAAGGTCTTCTAATTAGAATTAATGCTTTTAATTTTTGAGCGACATCCGAGACCCGAAAGTGGTATTTCACCATGCTTCCGGTTTTTAAAATACCAATATCTAAAGCACCGTTTAAGTTGGGCGGACGAAATTTCACGTATTATCACTTATATTTCATAACGAATCTCATAAAGCATATTCTAAGAACTTTTTGCCTCTATGTGTTTTCTCGAAAGCGAGCAGTTTTTTTCACAAAATTCTATATTTCTATAGCTCGATTGGACTGTTGTAAAGAAATATACTAGAAAGTTTAGGGAGAGCTCACTCAAGCATTTGAAAAAAATGCTCGATTCACTGTTCTGCATTAAAAAGGTAAATAACACTAATGAATTGATGATCAACTAAAAGAAGGTTATCGCGTGATCACGAACCAGCAGGTCTATATGAGCCAGAGGCACGCAGGCGTCCAACAACAACACCCAATTTAAAGCGCTCACACAGGCGCCTTATCTCAGGTGATACCAAAAAATGGCGGCGGGGCGTTATCTTGGCCTGGTTTGGACTAATGCCAACGGATAGTCTGCTGAGGCAACGCCGCTGTTTTTTTAAACCTGTTTTGATTCAACTTGTTTGTTTAATAATGTCAAAAGTTGTAATAGAAAGGTCTATTTTCTCGGTTAAAAGATTGTTACAGCAAGGAAACCTAGAAGAAATATTTCAAGCACTTGAAATTTACGAGGTGAAACACGGCCTTTTTGGTACTATTATATAAATGTATGTGTGTGGTGTATGTGAGTGCGTGGGACTGTGCGTGTGCGTAGGTGTGCATGTGTGTTTTCTTTTAACCCATGATAAATGATAAATATAAATTGTTGGAGCAATACACCTCTTACACTAAGAAAATGTTTTCGTCCAAAACGATTAATTGATCGACTTGTGGTTAAACAAAACTTTGTTGTTCTCGAATACAAGAGAGCTTCTGTACGAGCTAAGCAGACGGTTACCATAAATAAATAATTGAAACAAGAAAACGGATTTTAGCGGGGCAAGGTGACTTGGTCATTGTTCCATGCTAAGCGGTCATTGTTTTCTTTGCTGGACTAGGCCAGACACTGTCTTTTAAAATGGTGACGTCACACACTATATATAAACTACCGGATGTTTTCAAAGTTCAAACGCAAACATCTGTGTAGCATCTGTAAGTAGTGTAAGTCTAAAGTCTAAAATCTAAAAGAATTTTAAAATTTAAGATACGTGACATTACATAAACAAGTGGCGGGTTCAGTGTTTCTTCCAGACTTTTTTCTCCGGGGGGGGGGGGGGCACTTGAAATTTTCGGGGGGCGGGGGGTAGACTTTCTTCGGGGGGGGGGGCGGACACTGTTAAAAGTATATATTTTCTATATAAATTATATAAATTTCATTTCGTTCGGGGGGGGGGGGGGGGGGCGGTAAAAAAATTTCGGGGGGGGGGGGGGCTTCGCTCCCCCGAAGAGATGCCTGGAAGAAACTCTGGGCGGGTTAGAAGATAAGTAACAATCGGATGTATGGGTTATAGTCCCCTACATGGTGTGATAAAGTGTAATAACAGACGTGATGACAGTCAAACTTTCAGTCAAGCTGCTTTAATCCAATTATGAGGCATAGCTCGTCCACGACATTCACTTCAGACTTTCAGACAGTAATTCTGTGCTAAAATTTTCGGCTAATGAAACACACAAAAAACGTCCTTATTTAAAAAAAAAAGTAATTTGCTCTTCCTTCTAAAATGAGCTCAGCTAGCGTTGACAAATCCAATAATGATTCGGGGTCAATATAGTGAACAACTCACAACTGGGCCCAACTATTTGTTTTAAACATAGAATTGTTGTTGTATATCAGTAGGATAAAGAACCCGAATAAACTGTTGTTATTAAATAAAAGTTAACAGCGTACATATTCTGAGTGCAATTATATATATATATATATATGTATATATATATGCATATATATATATATATATATATATATATATATATATATATATATATATATATATATATATATACATATATACATATATATATATATATATATATGTATATGTATATATATATATATATATATATATATATATATATATATATTATATATATATATATATATATATATATATATATATATATATATATGTATATATATATATATATATATATATATATATATATATATATATATATATATGCATATATATATATATATATATATATATATATATATATATATATATATATATATATATATATATATATATATATATATATATATTACATATTCTGAGTGCAATTATATATATATATGTATATATGTATATATATATATATATATATATATATATATATATATATTACATATTCTGAGTGCAATTATATATATATATATATATATATATATATATATATATATATATATATATATATATATATATATATATATATATATATATATATATATATATATATATATATATATATATTACATATTCTGAGTGCAATTATATATATATATGTATATATGTATATATATATATATATATATATATATATATATATATATATATATATATATATATATATATATTACATATTCTGAGTGCAATTATATATATATATATATATATATATATATATATATATATATATATATATATATATATATATATATATATATATATATATATATATATATATAACAACATGTAAATATACATTTAATTTTTTAATTAAATAAATATTTACTCAAATACTAGAGCCTATGAATTTCTACTAGCCATTCATAATATATAAATTTACCATATACACATTTAGATCAACAGCTTATCGGTAAAAAAAATGCAGAGATAACCTAAGTCGAATAAAATTTAAATTAGATTACATTTTTATAAGGCTAAATACGTTAGTGTAATTTTATCTTTAATTAGCACTAACGCCACAAGAGTGCACCTCTATAAAAAGACGTGTTTTAATAAAAGAGTTCCAAGTGTGATTTAAAAGTGAGAATAGTTGTCATGTTGGCAGGTTCAGCACGTGGCCAGCCCGTCTGTACCTGACACTGTTACATTATGTTCAGCCTGGACTTGTAACGATACAACAACATTAACTTTGACATGTTTGAAATGCAGAAATACATACGGACCAACGCCTCTAAACGTCTCTTGTGGCATCAGAACAAACAACTGACCAACACCTTGACATATTAGATTAATTCTAAACCTTACACCTTGAAATATTTGATATATTATATAACTTCGACTAAAATCAATGTCTCTCTAATATTAAAATAGAAATACAGGTTAAAGGTTTCGAAATACAGAATAAAAAAAATTAGTTTTACTGAATTTCAGAAGCTCCATCTGGTTTATCAGACTCTAGAATATAAACGCAATCCTTTTAAAATAAAACAAACACCTCAATTTGAGTTAAAGTAGCTGTTGAATCACTACAGCATTA